AGCGGTCAAGGATGCCGTCAGAGTCACACTCGATGCGCCTACACCATCCATCCATCCACACATCCGCCATATGCATGCGAGCCTTGATGAGCTGCTACCTTTCCTGCTAATCTTTGACCTTTCTGGCGGCGCACATTCAGCCACAATCACCGGCGGCACGAGAGGAGAAGGCGACGCTCAGAGATACACAGCACCACGCTGCACAACTTGACTTGATAGAGCGAGCGCGCGCGCTCTTGCCCCCCTTTCTCATACCTCGTTCGGCGGTACTCGATTCATCTACGAGATGTTCAGGTCAGCTCAATCTTCTCGAGCTGATGGGGCGAGCCAGATCAATGGCACACCAAGAAAAGCAGGAATGGGTCTCTCTGCCGCTTCGGCTTCGGGCTCGGGATCAGGGATGGGCGTGACTCAACATGCTACCAAAGGTCCTAGACTTTATCCTCATCGCCTCAACTTCTATATTCGGCCTCCAACGCACGAAATCACCATTGAACAATTCGAGACTTGGGCCATCGACAGATTAAAAGGTGAACCAAGTCGTACGAATGTCCTCCCCTCTTCTGAGCTGATTCAACTTCGAGCTCGTCCCGAATGGGGAACATCGCATGCTCATCGACTTGCCCTTCTCCTTGCGCGCTCTTCGACCCACAGTGCTTGCAGAGATCGAATCCTCTTCCACCCGAAACAAGTCGTGGGCAGAGACGAAGGAGACTATCTCGGCAATGTGCAAAAAGTATCTGCCTTTGAGCGCCACGACGGCTGGGATGAGCGGTGGGATCGACCTGACCAAAGAGCGCATGAAGGACCACGTCTCTCACTTCGTTCTCAGATTGGCTTTTTGCAGGTCGTGAGTTCTGCCCATACGAGCTGCATGCTTGCTAGCAAGGCATTGCCGGTCGCAAGAAGCTGATCCTCCATGTTCGGCCTTTCCTCCTGCGCGTTTGTTGCGGCCAGGGAGGAGCTCAGGAGACGCTTTTTGAAAGCGGAACAGACTTTGTTCAGGATCCGGTTTGAATCGGACGATGCGGCCGAGAGGGACGCGTTCTTGAAGACTTTGAACTTTGATTGGGTCTCGGTGAGTGGATGATGAAGACTACCTCGTTTGGATTGGATGCGCGCACGAACTGATATGTATGCGCTCGCACGTCTCGAAGGTGACGGAAGAGGAAAAGATGGCCAACAAGGCTTCCCTGCTCGCCACCAGTCCATGGCTCACGCTCAACTATGACAGAGAAAGCTTTTTCAAGGTGAGTGACCATCCAGAGATGCGTCTTGGTGGAGGTACTTGAGGGCCCCATAATCTGAAATCATTGGCGCGCATCTTGACTTGCCCTCGATGACAGGTTCACTGGACACGAGTCATCGACTTGGTGGAGAAGCGACGCGTGTTCCTTTCGGGAGGTACGGCTTGGGTGCCTGCTAAGGAGCAGGGCACGCTGGTCGTTGCAGAGTTTTCCACTCGGCTAGCCAAGGATCTCGAGGTGCGCAGCATAGAAGCTAGTGTAATCAATACAAGGCATTCCGCGCTGACTCTCAAGCTTGTCTTCCCTTCGTTTGGCGTCCTTGCTCGCAGCTCACCGCTCGAGCTCTACCGCGTTTAGACGAAGACGACAGACTTCTTCCCGTCCTCTCTCACCTCTCCCTCGGCTTTATTGCGGGCGTAACGTCCGACTATTCGGACTCTGTCATCAAGCTCGAAGATGGTGGTCACATCACCGCTGCGCACATTGATGCGCTTGTGAGGAAACATGCTCCGATGTGCATGCGATCTCTGCACGAGAATCTGAGGAGGGACAAGCACCTCAAACACTATGGTCGATTGCAGTACAATCTCTTCCTCAAGGTGCGTGATGGTCTTGGCTCATCATGCACGACTTTGTTAACGAGGCAGACTTTGATGACCCTGCCTTACCGCCTTCAGGACCTTGGATTACCCATCGAAGAAGCGCTCGTCTTTTGGCGTAGGGCTTTCAGCAACAAGACGGATGACCAGTTCAACAAGGAGTACAAGTACAATGTTCGACACGGTTACGGACTGGAAGGCAAGAGGGTCAATTACCCGGCAAAGAGGTAAGCAGTCCGTCCCCAACTCAAGGTTAGCGAGACACGATGTGGGCCTCCATCTGATTGCCTGCCTTTCTCCCGACTCTTGCGACCTTCCGCGCTTCTGTGCGCAGCTGCGTACGCATCATTACCCAAGATCAACCTGGTCCACAAGATAATCACGGTTGTCCCTTCCGGCACTACTCGCAAGGTCATCTTTCGGCCGCACTGACGGCCCACTACGGTCTGACGCCCAACGAACAATCCGAGATCCTTGCGGCAGTGAAAGCTCAGCATTATCACGTCGGCTGCACGCGTCTTTTCGAGATCACGCACGCCAAAATGGGCGTCAGAAAGGGAGACGGTTTGGGCAATGGAGAGAGCGCGAATCATCCGAACAGATACTTTGAGAGGAGCTTCGAGCTGGCAAAGGATGGCGGGCAGCAGCGGGATGTGGAGATGGATGCGGATGACAGTGTGGCTAGGGAAGACGCGAGGAGAGCAAAGTTGCAAAAAGGCGTACTGGACGCTTCGCAGATGAAAGACGAGGTGAGTTGCAAGCGTGCTGGATCAAGTGTCGAGCGTCCCCTTTTGGTTATGGTGAATAGGGCAGCAAGAGTGCGGGGGATAGGATCGTGCTGATTTTCCCCACATCCTTTGTCGATTTGTGCCGCTGTTGTTCGCTCGCAGTTTCAAGACGATACGATGGACGAAGTGAGTAGAGTCGAAAGAAGTGGAGTGCCCCCCCCCCTTCCCCCCTTTCCCTTACTTCTTCCCCTTTCCCATTCCTCTTGCTCGTTCGAATGGCTCCTCCGCACTCGTGCTCATGCCAACCATCTCCTCTTTCCCATCCCTGTCTTCGACGCGCTACACAGCTCATGCGAGCAGCTGCAGATCAAGGTCAGACACAATGGGCAGGAGCGACCGTTCCTGGTCCGTTTGACGGTCGCAAAGTCAAGGTGGAAGCTGAACAGTCGGAGGGAACTTTCGATGCGGATGAGGAGGAGGAGGAAGCTGCTGCTGCGGCCATGATGGAGCACTAAGGTCCAGCTCGTCATTTCACATCCGCCATCCTCTTCTACTCCGCCCCGCCCCGCACCTCCTCTGACGCTTCTGCATCTTGCCGCACGGCTCAAATCTCACGACGATACTTTACCCATTCTTTCACCGAGTCCACAAGCATCACGCAGGCAAAAGTGCATGAGAAGTACCTTGCGTAGGGATGCGCACAATGATTTGCATCGATACGCGTGGGACGCGTGAGCAGCGCAAGGTGAACGAGATGCCATCAATCTTCATCGGGTATGCCAGTCACGTCGAAATAGCTAGGAGGCAACGAAGCGTCCGCCTCTGCTTCCCGCTCATCTTCATCGTCGCCATACGTCGAGACGTCTTCCAAGAGCCAAGCTTGATCGTACGCCGGAGCGATGGACTGGGTGTAGTTGCTTTCATGCTGCGAAGCATTATCGGATACGACGTTGGACCTTATTAGTCCTGATGAAGCATCGAAATTTGTCGGAGGCGCATGGCTGTGAGGGTTGGGCAGCGGAGGTCCTAAGGGCATTGGAGTATAAGGATTCGAAGAGCTTATCGATGCGCCTGGAGGCGCGGTGTTCGTCATGGTCGATGTGGATGGCGTGCTTGGAGGTAGAGCTGCAGGGCCCAAAGTCGTATCGCTCACCGAAGGCTCTTTCCCCGGCACTTGTGGTGGGAGAGCTGGGGGCGCCGATGGGCCAAGCGTGGAGGTGTTGCCACCAGCCTCGGAAGAATGCCTAATCCGAGGCAGAGCTTTCTGTTGTGGGACGGATGGTCGTGCCACGTTTGCCGAGTCGGGGGAGTATGTAGGATCTGGAGAAGCAGAGGTCCTTCTACCATTCCTCGCGGCAATCTGCTCAGGTCTCAGCTGCGCTTGCAGTGACGCCGTGCCTGACGTTGCTGAAGGGACGAGTGGAACATTGGCCAACTGACTGAGCACGTTCTGATGGCTCAGCAGCCGCCTTCTGAAACCTGCTGCTTCCGGTCGAGATGAGGTAGCAGCGCCACTAGCGCGTTGTATCGCAGGTGCGTGAGGACTGTCGACGGAGGCCGAAGCAGCATGTTGAGGAGTCGCTGCTGCGTTGATGGGCGGCGTAGCGGACGCCTTACGCTGGTCAGAGATCGCACTTTGCTGAGCGCCAGACGAGCGAGCATGAGCTGCAAAGTGAGCGCCGAGCGCTATCGAGATTGGCCGCTGGCCTGAGACGGGAGGAGTGGATGATGGCGGCGTGCTGGTTGCGACAGAAGGAGGCGTGGCGGCAGGCGATGCTGTCGCAGGCGAGGCTCCACGCGCAGAAGCTGGGTGTGGCGACGGGGAGAGAGAGGCAGGCGGCGACGGAGAGGACGAGACTCCAGCAGGCACTTGGAGCAAGGGCGCTGAATTGCGGTGCGGGTGACGAGCGGTCGAGGAAGCCGCAGCGTCTGTAGCGCTGAGATTCCGCGTATCAAAGTGCGGACGTGGTGGCTGACCGGCCGACACTTTGCTCGGCCTGGTCTCGGGTCGTCCACGAGAATGGGGGGCGGAAGCAAGAGATGCCCCGGGTCTCACGCTTTGGTTGTTGTTGCTTCCACCGCCACGCGCTTGAGTAGCAAGGCTTGGAGATTGGACCGCAGCAGGGCTCAAGGATGGTCGCGCGGTGGAAGAAGTTGACATGGTCTCTGTTTCGCGACTCCCTGTATTTGCTCTGGATTGGCCCACCGCACTCCCAACGCCGGCCATCGATGTCGAGTGTGGGAGAGGCGCAGAGGGATGAGTCGCAGCACTGGACAAGTTTGGTGTTGTGGGTCCATCAGCCCACAGCGTTTCGGGACCTGGGTGGATTGGAAGCCCACCAGTCGGATCTGACAGCGCATTGCTATCCCTGCGAGGCGGATTGTACGCTCGAGGTGCCGGGGGTGCCGGATTTCCAGGCAAAGCGCTCGAATTAGATACGAGAATGCCCGGAGCAGGGTGAGGTATCGCGACGCTAGCTGGCGGGTGAGCGACCAACTTAGTCTCAATCTCCAAGGGCTGGTCCAAGGAAGGAAATCGTATCTGGACACAGTGTTTCAAAGTCAGGTGAGCCGTGCTGAAGCTCGCTGTACTGGCGCTTGGAATCGACAGGTGACCCAAATAGTGCACCTCTTCGATGTAGTCTGCTCCGCGAGATGCAGCAGCAACTGTTGCCCTGGAAGGCGAAACCGTCTGAATTGGCGCTGAGACGAATGCTCCTCCCATGCTTGTTGTACGATGCGACCCACCCGGCATCGAGGTCGCGTGCAAGAGCTCCACAGCCTGCGTAACGGCAAGAGCGTGAGCACCAATCAGCCGATGTCAGTATTCGTCTCTTCCGTCTCGTGACAATTCCTCCTTCTCACCGGCAGATCCACCTCCCGCTTGCCTACTTCGTAGCTCCACTGTCGTCTGCATTCTATCACGAAGCTCAGCCCAGCTCTAGCGACCAAAGGCTCATTTGGAAGCTTGACGCTCCAGACCTCTTCCAGACAAGAGCCCACAGCTTTCGCTCCGAACAGCCTGGCAAAGAGACCGGGGTTGTTGGCAGGGGGTGGGAGAGCCACACTTGGCAGCTTATGTGTCGTCCACGAGGCGGGTGATGGAGAGCTCAGCAGAGCGCGCACGTCCAAAGCAGTCGGCTGACCTTTGAGCAAGCGGCGAGTCCGATTGGATCTGTCGATGGAGGCAGCGACTGCAGGCGAAGCAGGCGGAGGAGGCAGAAAGGCGAAAGGCGCTATCGTCCTGTCCGATTTGCGCAGAATACCTCTCTCCACAATCAATCTCGCTTCCCACCTGATCGATGCCCACTCTTCGCCCTTGTCTTGCCCGCCTCTCTGTTCCTTCTGAGTAGCCTTGGTGGACTTGTAGGATTGCAGCACGTACGATGCGGGCAGGTCTCCATGGGTGGAGCTGCGTGGCAGCTCGATTGCAAAAGGCATGACGTGTGCGGCTGAAGAGCTCGCACTACTGTGCGGAATAGCAACGATAGTCGTCGAGTTGAAGAGCTCTTGGGACTGTACTGTATGCGAAGTGGAAGAGGGCAGCTTGTCCAGAGGAATGGCTGTGCTGACTCTTGGCACCTTGGCTGTCACGATCGCGGTGATCTGAGCAGAGGTAATGTCTTACAGCTACATCAGCAGGTGATCTTCGCATTCACCATCACCAGCACAACACGTCCTCACCTTGATCTTGACGCTCTTCGCCTCTCCATCCACCCGAACAAATCCCGTCATGGCACCTCTGCCCCTCTCCGCAGAGCCCCCCATCACAGTCAGATATTTCTGCGGCAAGGTCTGTACGCTGCGCCCCCCAAGTCGGTCCAAAAACTTTTGAGCTCCGGTTTCAGCAAGGGAAGAGCAAGTAGGCATACACACTCACACCAAAGCAGCCCGACCACCGTTGCAGACATACTCGTGCTCAGTCTTGAACGTCGCAGAGCCCTGACCAAGGGCCGCGACAGAAGCACTCTGCTGTCGAGCCGGCATCTTGAACGTCGAGGCCGAATGAAACGAATAGGTTAAGGGAGAGGGTCGAGAAGGCTGCTTAGCGCTTCATGGTGATCTTCCTTCTGTCAGTCTGTGCTAGTCGTGAAGTATTGGTATGCGCTCCGTCAGAACGCACGAATTTGACGTAGTGCTGGCAAGAGGCAGTTGACGTGCGCGTCGTTCGTTCCTTTCCTCGACGTGGATGATGAACGCAGGTTGGGCCAGCAGCTGCATACAACTGCTACTGGAATAAGGAGCGCTTGAAGTGCCAAAAGGAGGGATCGCGAATCAAAGAGAGTGAACGTTGGTCGAATTCAATGCTGCCCGCAAATGCGTACTTCCTTGCAATTTGCCCTCTACTCAATCATGAATGCGAGCACGAGTCCTCGAACTCATCCGTGATTCACCATTCAAAGCTTGATCACGCTCACGCATGCTCAGCAAACGCGCAGTCCAACCCTCAAGTTCGCTGCTGCACAGCCTCATCGTGCAGGGGCAGGGATCGGGGGTTCGCGTTTCTGCGGGCTTAGCGCGCGCAAGCGCTCCTCGCCTTTGCCGCACTCTGACTGCCCTGCTATCACACCACATCACGGCCATGTATAGGTAATCAAGCAACGTCACTCAAGTGCCAATTGACGATTGGAGCGCCGAAGGACATGTCAATAGCAGAGACGCGCAAAGTGTGGCATGTTGACTATGATTGGATTTCTTTGCGATCTAGGTGAATCTTGCGCTCACATCACTGCTGAGCAGGTCAGGACGGTCCCAATGCCCTTAATTGAGGGCCTTGGCGAGACCATCAGCGAGGGCCCAAACCCCCCACGCTCCAGGGTCAGGTGGCATGCCGGCATTGTTCTCCGTTCCACCAACGTACGTGGCTCTGCCCAGACGAGCCGTCATCGTCTTGGTGGCCTCAGCTCCAGCTTTGGCGTCGGCGGCAGCCTGAGTCAAGCTCTTGCCTTCGCCCAACGACAAGCACAAGGGAGTTAGGGCATCGACCAGAGTTCTGTCGCCAGGACGTGCAGGAGTGTAGTTGCCCAAATTCTCTAGCGCAGACTTGGCGGCATTTCCCCAATCGGCTGCCGTTGCGGGCTGGCCACTCTTGCCGCTTCCGTTCACCAGACCTTGCACAAGACCGGCAAAGAAGAGCGCGTAGATAGCTCCGCTGGTACCACCCATGGCGCTCTCGAGCACGGTGCCGGTCGTCAAGCAGGTGCCGGCAGCGTTGCTCAAGTCGATTTTGCCATCAGCAAGTGCCTTGAGCACAGCATTGGACGCAGTAGCAAGCGTCTCGCCGCAGTCGCCATCACCGACAATCGTGTCGAATCGAGTAAGATCGGGTTCAGCAGCGATGGCCGACTTGCAAGCTCCCTCGATGGCCTTGCGCACTTCTTCGGGGTTGCCGTTGGAGGGTCCGCCGCTGGATTGGCTTGCATCTTGGCTCAGACCACTAACGCTACCACCTTGCGAGCGGATCTTGGCGAGGTGGTCTGCTGCCTCTTTCTCTTCTGCTTCGCGGTCGCGCGGCTTGCCGGTAGCTGAACCCCATCCGCTCTTCACGCCTGACCACGAGTAAGCATCGGTTGGGGCATCCAAAAGCTCGAGCATATCTTGGCCAGTCTCTTTCTTGACATTCTTGTGGTTGACAAGGGAAATTCCGAACCCCGGTGCGTTGAGCGAGGTCATGTACTGGTTACAGAAGACTCGGCTCGGGTGCAAGCCCCACGTCTTGGCTGCAAAGGAAAATTGCGGGAGTCAGCCTTTAAGGCCGTAAGTAATTCATGTCTCGCTTCACAACTCACCCAGGTGCGTAATAGTCACGTCCGTAATTGCGTTCATCTCGAGCTGGCTCATACCACCAAGATTGTTGATGAAGAGGACCGGTGCGTCATCCTTGTCAAAGTCGAGGTAGTGACGGTCGGGGTCGTTGGGGTTCAAGAGGTACGACAGCATCTCCTCGATCAGACTGTCTGGGTCAGGGACCCTGTCCAAGCGCTTGAATCCGGGCTCGTTGTGGATTCCGAGACCGATCTCGCAAGCCTCTTGGGGCAGAGCACCCCACTCGGCGGGGTCTTTGGGTCGACCAGGGACGTGGCAGTGGTCTAGAGACATACCCACAGTCACGGTATTTGCAATCGTGCTGTCACCGAGCTTCTTGAGCTGGGAGACATTGAGACCCTTTTCGGACCCTGCACCGAGAATCTTGCAGGTGAAGATGTTGCCTCCAAGTCCACGACGTCCTACAAGACCTCCCTTCTTGCGGCCGACTGCAACGTCATCACCAATGATGACAAGCTCGACACCTCCGCTCTTCTTGTTGCCAGAGTAGGCGAGAGCAGCGCGCGCTTTCTCGGCGGCAAGGCCAAAATTCAAGCAATCACCAGTGTACTGAGCGTGCGTGTGGAAAGCCTGTCAAAATGGCATTCGCGAATGCGTTTTGATGTCCGCTTCACTCACATTGTTGACGACAATGATGACACCCGCGTCTGTGTTGGCCAGATCAAGACCAGAGCAGATCTGGCTTGCGCTCGGGGACGCGAAGACCTCACCGGAGATGGCAGCTGTGAGCATGCCGCGTCCGATGACCCCTGCGTGACCAGGCTCGTGACCAGCACCACCGCCAGAGATGATGGCAACTTTCTCGTTGCTGTGAGTGCAGTCATAAATAACCTTGTGGGGGGCGTAGCTGAATATCGAGTCCGTGCGAGCATTAGCTCAAGCTTGCAGTACCGTGCAGGACTTTCACCCGCTTTACGGACTCACAATCGCAAAGCAGGGTTGAGGGCAATGGCTCCGCGCTCTGCCTTCTCGACGAGGCCGACGGCCGTAGGGAAGACGTGTTTGGTGCTCATACTGCGGCGGGAAGGAGGAGTCAGTTCTCAAGTGAGGGCATACACGGGAACAGGGCTGGCAAGCACGCACCTGTTCTCGGTGAGCTGAGAAGAGGGATTTGTGAGGTAGATGCCGCTCTGCAGTATTGAGTGCAGAAAGAGACAAGACGGTACCAGATCTTTGCAGCTATGGGACAGTGCAAAGGATACCGAGTGATGATGGTGAAGAATGTCAGGTCTGGGCACGGAGCCAAACGCACAATTTCTCCACAGCTGGCAAGGTCAGGCCTGGATGCAAAACTCACGACTCGCACAGTTTCGCCTACGTTTGGCTGTCTTGGTGTCCAGCAGCAGCAGCAGCAGCGGTCGCCATCATAGGCGACAGATATGCTTGGAGTCTCCCCCCACACAGCACAGCAGCATGCGGGTATAGAATTTCAAGCTGATCCGTGCACGCAGACGGCAGAGCATCATCGCGCGCGATCGTATACTGTATCAGCAGCGGCGTTGCTGCGCGGGGGCGCCAACCGAAACGGCGGGCATGATGTGCGTCAGGCGTCTTATGCATAACCACAGCAGCATGCGCGCATACTGCATGCATGCATGCTGCTGCTGCTGCTGGCTGCGTGACCTTGTCGCATACATCGCAGCGTATGATCTTGAATGTTCACGCTTGCAGCTGCAGCGCTGCGTCACCTCTGCTTGCTCACCAAACTCTCTGCCGCGAAATCTTGATGAATTTGAATCTCGAATCGTGAATCTTATAGCTGCTGCATGGGGCGGAGGATCATGAAAAGCGCGATCGATCCAAAGGCGGCGTGAGCTACGATGATGATGGCCCGTTGGCGGCTGGTCCATCCATCCAACTCTTCCAGTCGATGGACTCGTCGAGAATGTAGCAAGAGTGTATACATTACTTCACGCTCGTGGGAAATACGTCTCGTAACTTAGTCCTCTTCCTCGCTAAGTGAGTCCACGCCAAGTCGAGACACCTTGCAAGGTCCACACGAGTAAGATTCCATATGGGTCACGTGATAGATTCAAAATGTGCGCCACAGCGATAGGGGGACCTATCAAAGATCGTTCACTGGTCCACGTGGCTGTAATCTTGAATACCAGAAAGGAGTCAAGTGGTATCATCACAGCTGCATGAAAACAAGATCCTAGATGAGGTCGGTGCAATCATGCGCCACCCAAAACAATTTCAATCGTGAATCTTGAAGCCAAATGCTTACTACTGTGGCTGAAGTTCCCCCCCTCCCCCCCTGGCTGGTGTTGTAGCGATCGTGACTAACGTGAATGAACGGAGGTTCACAATTGCTTGGCGCCCAAATCTTGAATGCAATTCACGATTCGAATTACCGGTATCCATGCATCAGCGAAGCTATTCTCTTGTTGGTGTTTCACCTCCTCCAAGATCGTCAGCTGTGGACCGTGATGAGCGAGTCGCCAGAGCACAGACATACTCCTCGCTCTAGCTGACTCTCCGACCGCCTTGTAACCAGCTGTTCAGGACATCCTTTCTACCGATACTCACACATTGCGCGCGCTCGCAAGGAGAGCCGGAATCGCAGAGAGGCTTCATTTCGAGCTGCACGTGCACGTGAACTTGACCTTGGCGTCTCGGCTGCACGCGATTCACGATTATCCGGCAAGTGTCGACGCACATTCACCACTCAAACTCATCACTTCGCACAAGTATACTTGCCCACGATAGGTCGACGCCTGTATCTAACTACGCCCTCGCTAGGACAGCAGCGATCCGCATCTCGATCTGCGAGAATCTTTGGCCAGAGTCTCGCTGTTGGAAGTGGAGGTCTGCATGGAGCACCACCACGCGCTCTGAAGTACGCCCGGCCAACGCCATATGATAGCGGTACCTGAACGCCAACTCACAGCCGATCGACCGCGTGATCAGCTGCACATAGAGCGCTCACGAGTCTGACTACAGACTACGCGCACTTCGGTCTTGATACCCCCGGCCACCGTTCGCCCAATCTGTACGCCAGCATCTTTGGACGTGGCGCCGCGGTGAGTGATAGAGATTGCTGAACATCAAGTATAGTCGATCGAGAAAAGTTGGATGGATGGTGCTGGATGCAGTCTTATTAAGGGCTCAGCACGTGTGCGCACACAGACCATTTCGAACCTCCATCACTCGCTTTGCATGCATCTCTCACAACTTCTTCGATGCGCTCCGCTGACTCGCCTGATCTCACCCCATCCAAACACAATGACTCGCTCTACTACTGCTACCCTTGCACCTGGAATCCCATCTGATGCTGCTCATCACATGCGGCCACTCGTGCTCCTACTATCCCAACCATCATTTCAGGCACCGAGCGGTGCCGCGGCGTCCCAGTCGTCTACCAGCCTTATTCCACCACCTCCGACTGCAACTCATCCGCCGCAGCAAGGTGCTGGCGGCGCAGGCGCATCGCTTTCGTTTGCCGATCAGCAGAGGGTGTATCAGCAGCAGCCCTTCTCTGCTCAGGTGGCTAATGGATGGGGAAGGCCCGCAACCGCCCCTCCGGAGCCCGATTCGGCTGGCTTCAGAAGGAAGATCACGCAGATGGAGCTTCGCAATGCCATTGCTGGTGAGTAATGGCAGCTGCGTGACTCGAGCTCTCTGTAGCTTGGCTCACGCCTCTGGCTGCTGAACTGTCCGCGCGTTTCGATGCAGAGGCGACGGACCCACTGCTCGATGCGGTACAGAGGGTCACCACAGCGATGAGGACGTACATGTCCCTGATGCCGCCCAGAGAGCCACCAACAGCATGGCAATCGGACCCATCGACGCTTCACGACTTTCTCTTTCAGCTCGAGTTGATATTCCAAAGAGATGGCATCGACGACGATACGAGACGGATCGCTTATGCGCTCAGTCGGACCAGCGGACCTGCTAGGGATACGGCTTTTCAAGCGCTTGCCAATTGCGGCAGCTACAGTGTCGGACAGACAGCTAGCGAAGTCACGCCGGAATGGCTGAAGACTTGGGACGCCTTTGCGGGCAGGCTCTGCATCGATTTTGGACCAAGATAGGTGGGGGCAGAGTGCGTGCTGGATGTTAGTACAGCTGCGCGATGTCAGCTGCGAGATTGCGACTGCGCAACAGAGATTCTCCTTCTGCGAACAATCTTTTGCCGCGCGCATATCGAGTTGCAGCAGGTCGAGAAGACTTGAAAGTGCCGGGTTAGTGCGGTCAGAAGATCGGTGGTGGGATCAAATCATCCAGGCTCCCTGCAATCGACCTATGTGTTCTCTGCGCCGGCATGCAGTGACTACACGACGGCATCATCGACGAGTCCTGCTCCTTCTCTTTAGCATCAAACCTTTCTTTATCGCCGCTCTGATGCCATCGGATGGAGGAGAAGCGGCGAGGCATCCAACCCATAATCCAACTCATCGGCCGCTGCAAGCGCTGCCGCACATCAGTCTGATGTTGCCCACAGGTTCGGAGAACTTTGGTTTGCTCTCGTCACGCTTGCGAAGCCGGGCGGAAGCATGGTGAATCAAATGTTCAGTATCCAAGCGCGGACGGAGTAGCGCCTTCCTTGTATTTTGCGTGTCAATCCAGCGAATTCTCTGCCCTGCTGCGCTTCGTAGCGGAAAGTTGATGGTACAGCTCGCGTGTGGGGATGGATTGGCTCATCGATCGTCATAGCGTGACAAGATTGTAGCACAACGGGTTGATATAGACCTTTCTTTGTTCACGCGTACGGCGGGGCAATACGCGCTAAGCAGCGCGCGCGCAACACCTTTTTTGGCCGCTTAATTGGTGTGGGTGTTGCGCGCGCTAAGTGCACTATACGGACGGTCACGGGGGGTGTTGAACGCGCAACGCTCAACGCTCAACGTCAGCTCTTAGGGTTGGGCGAATGATCAAGCCTAGCCAGGCGCAGAATGGACGCTTTACGTAAAGCGTTGCGGTGTCATGTGCCTCAACTTTCTTGAGGACGCTTTGTTTGGCGCTAGACGCTCGGTGCGGGGGGGGAGGCGGGAAGCTAAAGGTGGAGTTGAACCTGGTCCTCGAGCCGTTTGGAGGGAGATGATTGCGTGCGGGAGCCACATGCTACGCCCCCACATTGCGCAACTGGATCGTCGAGTCGCTAGGAATGGGATGATTAGAAGTTTTCGGAGTCTGATCGTCGCAGATTGGTGTGAAGGGGGGATGGGATGGGATGAGGGGCCGGTGGATGAGGGGGGAGCGGATTGTGGGGGAGCGGATTGTGGGCTTGCCTGACGGACGCGGGGGTAAGGTCACGCCCGCCTATACCCGCACAGCTAGGTGGATGGACATGGCCCGGGTTCAGGTGCTCTTGAGGTAGGGCAAAGTTGAGCCGAGGCATGGCGCTATGCAGTCAGTGAGTAGTAAGTAACTTTGACTCTTTGTCAATTGTTCCGACGGTGCGCTACGCCGGCGGCTACATGTCAGCTCGCGTTGAAGACAGGCTTGCCGCATCAGGGTCATGCAAACAAAAATCTTGAATGCTTCTGCTCGGCCAGCGCAGCATCAAACAGAGTTGTTCTTAAAGTACTTCGAGATGGTGCAGCTAGCTGCCTTTTGCTCTTGCAGCGCACCTTTACGAGTGTTCACCGATCAGACTCCAAGTGCGATGAACAAACAGCTCGAGCGGGATCGAGAAAGAAACCGTCCTTGGCGGCGCTGGCGTGCCTAATGACTGCTCATCGAATCGGTTTGGCGGGCCCCTATATAGCCCCACATACAATCAAGAATACTCACACCCTATCCGTTGGCAGAGGCTCAACACCACGATCGTCGAGTTTTCTGTCGAAAGCGGGCTGGGCTGGGCTTCCCGCTTTGAACCTTGCTTGCACTCAGTCGTGCCGCGCGTGTCTGCCGCTGCTTGTCATTCACGATTCAAATCGTGTGCTTATCTCGATCGATCGTGCCTTTCGGCGCAAGAGGGACTGCGACTGCTGATGAGGGTTGGCATCAAGTCACGGACACCGGCTCGGCTCTACCATGACCGACCGTTTGCGCTGCGCCCCTCGTGTACCGGGTACGATAGCTGCTGCTGCGTTCGGCCGTTGGCAGAAGAAAGATTAGGGGGCACGCATCAACAGCAGCAGCAGCAGCAGCAGCAGATCGATCGATCGAGCTGCCTTCTTGGCGCTCTTTGCCTGTCGCAAGTGGCTTGCCCGCGCATGCAACCAGTCAGCACAGCTGATGCACACACTGACTCTCTGCATGACTGCTTTGACTGCTCAGCTGCCTTTCCCATCCTGTGCATTCGAGGATTTGATTCAGATTGCCGAACCCGGCAGCGCGCGCTTGCGGCGATTTACGTTGACAGACATGCAGCAGCAGCAGCGATCGTCAAAGTAGCCAACGCGCACCCTCGAATTTTGAACATAATCTGAATCAAGAATCTTGAATGTGTCATTTCGAAGCGAGATTAGAGGAAACGGGACAGCATGTTATTGAAGTTGTGAATTGAAGACATTCGGACTTCGGTGTCCAAGGCAGGCAGCAGGCCCTATAACCATGTCCGCGCGGGTATAGATCATTTGACGATTTTGCTTTGAACGCGCGGCTTCGGGACCGGAATTGGCTGCCGTGAAGCTGTGTAGCAGCATCATGTGGCATGCATGCGCCACGCCCCCCCGTGGGCCCGTTGGCGGTGCAAGCTCACCAAGGGTGACGAGCCCTCATTTTGTGCTTCTTTCAACAAAGTCATCAGTCGCGAGTTCGAACTTTGTGACATTCAAATCGCGACTCCCAAATGTCGCGCAGCGTACCTCGTACCCCTCGTTCAGCCCGTCGATCAAAGATCCCGCAAGCGTATGCGGCCGCCATCACAGCTTTGACCTCCTCCAAGCTCACCCCTCCTCACCTTTAGAGAGATACACGATCACGAACAACCTCCACAACTTCTCGACCTTTCCAAAGCAACTCCAGCAATCTTGCTCGACGTGCACGCGCATCTGCGCATCATAGAAAGCCTCACTAGATCGAGCTTCTCCAGGCTCTACGCTCGCCCATAGAGATTGGAATACACACAGCTTGCCTCGGACCGCCTTCCTTGCCTGACCTATTCCAGGGCGTCCAAGACCACCTCGAGCACCAGCCACTGAGCTGAGCTGCCCCTGTGTTCGGGGCAGATCGCTCAGCCACTGCTCTCCCTCGTGCGAAACAACAGGGGCGTCTTGCTCTTGCCTGCCACCTCCTGACGCAAGGCTACTTGCTCTTGTTTGATCTTTGGCACAATCATGAGTCATCTAGACAATGCCGCGTCTCGCGGCGAGTCTCCTGAACTCAGGTTGGCGACGGGCACGGCTCCTCACACCCGACCAGCTTCCAGCAACCAGTCCCCTTCCACCGAGCACCCGCCCATCTCCGCTACTTCGGCGAGGCGAGGCCGCGTGCATTGGGATGGCAACACCGCCTCCATCGCAAGGGGCGGCATTCTCCACACTTCGGCCCCTAGCTCTGGTATCGAAGCCACCTCTGCACCAGCTCAACAAACAGCCTCTGCTTTTGCTGCTGCTCAAGCCGCCTCAAGATCTGCTCAGAGGCGCGTACATGCAGGTCAAGGTGGTGCCACTGTGACTCTGAGAGCACGCAATCAACCTCCCACGCCTGGAAGCGTCAATCGTGCTTTTCATCCCGGTCCTTTACAGTTGTCCTCTCGCCTTGCAGAAATGAGTGCGGATGCCGCTGCTGCTCCGAATGCGCCCGGCTCAGCTCCACCAGTCGCTGAGAGCGCAGGCGAAGATCCGATGCAGCCTAACAATGTCGCCGCAGCCCAATACTTCAACGCGCAACCCGAGATAAGCGCTCCCAGCAATCACCTCGGCGCGCCTGCTAGTGCTAACGTGCCCGCTCTGTCGCTCACTGGTGCCAAGGGCCTCGATGAGCGGGGCTTGGATTCCAGAGCTTTCTTGGAGCTGCAGCGAGAGTTGCAACGGCACGAGTCCAACGTCCCAGAAGTGGTGGAGCCAAGCAGCGCTCGTCTGGCCCCCGTCTCGGAGGATGGTGGCCGCGCTGCCTTCTCACGGAGGCACGCGGCACGTCGAGCAGACACTCCCGACTACGATATTAGCGCCAGCATGAGCGGGGCTTCCACTCCTGGCGTCGAATGGGCCAGCGGCACTAGCGACACCGGTAGCTACGATCCGGCCGCCGATAGCGATCTGGACCATATCGATGTGATTCCAGGAGAGACGGACGGCATGCCGTCCCGGCCACGTCGCCGCAAGACGCAGCAGCAGAAGCGCGAGGACGAGCAGGAAGAGCAGCCAAAAGGATGGGCTCGACTCCGAGCTATCCTGCGCAAGCCTGCCGAGGACGAAGAGGGTGATGAGAAGGGCTTGCCCACTACCAGGGCGGACGTTGGGAACGACGAGGCTGGCGGCCCCACGAATAGAAAAAGTGTTCCCGTCACTACCTCTACCGGCACGCATTCAGGCCCCCGCCACAGGCCCACACGCTTTGAACGTGAAGCAGCCCGTCTGGTCAAGGCTCACCGCTTGATGACTGGTCAGAGCGTAGAAAGCGACGGTATGCCAGGAGGAGCGGCCGCGGCAGGTCTTGGCCGTATGCCCACCATGAGTCGCAAACACCTTGACTCCGAGGCGAGCACACCGGATGCGCTTGACACGGCCGCGAATCTGGACGCGAGACCAGTCGCTGCAGGAGGTGTCCTCGGCAATTTGCTGCGGCTCTACGAGCAGCAACAACGCGAAGCCGCACGGAAACAAAAGGAGCTGGCGGAATCTCGGGCAACTTCGCCTCTGTCTACCCCTCCCGTCAGCGGGGTCCGGGGTGGCGCAGGCGCTCCTGCGAACCTGTCTGACCTGGTCGCTGCCGAGCTAGCTCGCGAGACTGCCGCTACCGCGTCTAGCATCGGGCCGGTGCCCGCGGATGCTAGATCCAAAGCGCGACGTCGAAGCTATTGGTCTGCGGAAAACACTGGCGGTGCCAATAGTCCGGGCCCTGCTGCCTTGGCCGGCGCATTCGTTGCAGAAGGTACCGCCAAGATTGCTGGCGCGACAAAGAAGGTAGCTCAGGTCGCAGCGCGAGAATCGGGAATCGATGATGCTGTCGACGACAGGCCGAAGGCTGCGAGATCCAACGCCGGCACGATTGGAGGCCTGGTTGCTGTCACCGGTAACCTGATCGGTGCAGTCAGTCCTTGGCACGCGCAACTCGGTCCCAATCCCAAGCGTCCCGGCTATACTTTGGATAGATACCTACTTCCAGAGATGAATGAAAAGACGCTGCGCAAGACTGCAGAGATCGTAGCTGATGCTGCGCCTCGTCCTCGACGATCCGCACCGGGCACACCTCATCTACCCGGCATAGGCACCAGCGTCAGCTCTTCGCCTCATCCCAATGATAGCAGCGAAACGGCTGCTGCGTCGCCGCAGGATGGCGCAGCTAGCCCTCACAAGACTACCAGCAGACCTGCAAGTGTTCTCCTTGGTCCTGCGCGGAGAAACACGGACGCTACGGTCGGTGGCAACGCTCATCGCAAAGGCAGCTCTCTGAGTCAATTCAGCTCGCACCTCTACGGGAAGCATGGCTGGCGAAGCAACGTCAACACTCCAGATGTGTACACGGCAGACTCCGGAGGAGATTACTTTGGCCACGCTGATCCAGAGATGGATGACAAATTGCAGAAACTGGAATGGCAGCGCAAGTTAAAAAAGAGGGCCAAAGATAAGCGCAAGAAGGAAGAGATCTTCGTGAGTGGAATCTCCTTCTGATTGAAAAAGGGCTCGTTATTGACCCAGCAATTCCACCTTTTCAGATCACGATGCACGTTGCTGCGATCCTGCAACGGCAAGAGTTCCTCTTGAAGCTCGCCCGAGCCTTGATGATGTTCGGAGCACCTACACATCGCATCGAGACGCAAATTCAGCAGACAGCGCGTGTGCTCGAGATCAACGCCCGCTGCATCTACCTGCCCAATCTGATGCTGCTCGCCTTTGGCGATGATGCTACGCACACCTCCGAAACCAAGTTCATCAAGCAGGCGGGTGGTCTGGACTTGACCAAGCTGACCGACATGCACTCGATCTACTGGAACGTGATTCACGACAAGATTGGCGTCGAGGAAGCGAGTTCGCAGTTAGACGAATTGATGAGACGGAAACCCGTCATTGGCATGTGGCCCATGGTTTTCATTGGCGGCTTTTGCTCATCTTTCATCTGCGTTGGAAGCATGGGGTTCAACGGAAGCTTTATCGATGCTTTGGTCGCCTTTCCGCTCGGCATGTTCCTCGTCTACTGCCAGAGCGTCATCACCACAGAACTCTTTAGCAACGTATTCGAAATCGTCTTTGCTGCCATCAACTCCTTCGTCGCTTCTGCCCTCGCATCGACACAGTACTTTTGCTACGCGGCGGTGGTCTCGGGATCCATCGTGCTCATCTTGCCTGGTTTCATCGTCCTCAGTGGATCACTCGAGCTGCAGAGCAAGAACTTGATCGCTGGGTCAGTCCGCCTCGTCTACGCCATCATCTACAGTCTCTTCCTCGGATTTGGAATCAGCATCGGATCCTCTTTCTGGCTTCTCTTCAGCGGGTCAGGCGACAGTACGATCCAGTACCTCAATTGCACAGATCCGGCCGTCCATCCCCCCAACGTTTGGTGGAGAGAAACGGTGCCCTTGGCATGGGGCTTCCTCACAGTGCCCGGTTATGCCACCGCGTTGTCGATGCGTAATCAGGTCAAGGTGAATCGAAAAGAATTTCCAGTGATGGTGTTGATTGCTTGCGCAGGATGGGCAGTCAACCACTTCTCGAGCACAGCTGGAGCCTTGACTGGTCGACAGGACATCACTTCCGCACTGGGAAGCCTATGCGTCGGAGTGCTAGCGAATATTTACGGAAGAATCTTTGACGGCAGAGCTTTCGTCGTCAGTGTCCCCGGTATCCTCTACCAGCTTCCTTCTGGTCTCTCCAACGGTGGTCTGCTCAACTTTGCCAGATCTGGCACGGGAAGCAGCGCCACGAGCAACTTCAACTCGGGCTTCGACGTTGCGCAGAGCCTCGTAGAGGTGGCCATCGGTCTTACGGTTGGCCTATTCGCTGCTACCATGCTGGCGTACGTCTTTGGTGGCCGCAAGATCCGAGGAGGCGGACTGTTCTCCTTCTGATCTCGTTGCGCATCGTTTCCAACGCTGCACTTCGTCCTCAATCTCAGCACAAACTCGCTGCCATCTTCCTCTGCATCTTTTATAGAAATAGCTGCGCGAACATCTCTCCAGCACTACACTTCCTCCCTTTTCCCTCTCACCTATTTCCATCCCCAACACAGACTACGACCGTACTGGACCTGACGCGGTGGACCGCATAGAGACAGACACGCGGCCCACTCGCAAGATATCGCTTTCTCCACATCCCACACCATACATGTCATCGCTTCCACGACCTCTATGGATCTCAAATCGCACAGCACACGTTCCACGCACATCCATGCAATCTTCTAATCCTTGATTCATTGTGGAACTTCGCGGTTTGGTTGATAAACAGTTCGAACTAAGTGGCCTACAGCATGCGTCGCGCTTCCGGAATTGAGAACCTTTGCGCACATCACGTGACTGAACTTCACCGCTCAGCGCGATCCGTAAATCGTGAATGTCAAGAAATCAAGAATAATCATCATGCAGATGCAACTCAGCAGGTTGATATGTTGATAGCTGAATCTCATCCAAGATTGTACACCTTGACTGCCACTACCGCTCCTGCGTCGTCCTGTCTACTGACTTGCTGCATCACCTCCTTGCCCTGACTTTTGCTCTTCCGGGAAGAAGACACCTCCCGCTCACGATGTCTCGACCTGTCGGTGAGAAGAAGGAACCTTTGTCGGTCGAGAAGCTGCTCGAAAGGCAGAAGGAAGCGCAGGGTGTCAGAGTGAGTTGCTCTAGCTCGCTTCGAATCAAGCAGGGTCTTCTTCTGATGGCTGATGTCCCCTATGCTGTACCGCCACAGCCGCGCTTCTTGAGCAAGGCGGAGAGGCAAGCTCAAGCGGCTCAAAAGGCGGCTCAGGAAGAAGCAGATAGGGCTTCGAAGGTTGCTCGAGACAAGAAAGAGAGGCAAGAGCTCGAAAGATCTGCCAGGATAGAAGGAGGAGGTGGCAGGGAGAGAGATGGTCGTGCAGATGTCCGCGATTACAGAGATTCGCGGGAGCAGCGGGCCTATGAGAGACCAGCATATGATCATGTGCCCACTGGACCCCGAGGTGGCGCACCACCGCCTGGACTCTCGGGCGCTCGATATCCGCCAGAGGCGAGACGAGAGGCCCTGCACTCCCATTCGGCAGGACCCTCTGCTGGAAATGGTACAAATCACCTTTCAAGCCCGTCGGACGCCAATGGTCACGCCATAGCTTCAACGTCCGAATCCATCAAGGATCGGTACCTGGGCATCAAGCACGTGGTCCCCAAGAAGACGAGGAGGCAACTGAATGACAAAAAGTTCATGTTCGACCACGATCTCAACGAGGACACGAGCGTAGCCAACGGGCTGGATGCCGATGGCACCAGTGTTGATGCCCAGGCTGTCGTGAGGGGCAGAGCGGCTGGAATGGATCTGGCTGAGCGAAGGGCCAAGGATGGGCTGGACCCATTTAAGCGAGGCGTCGGAAAGTCTGCCTTCGCAGAAAAGCACTGGAAGGAGAAGACGCTGGAGGAGATGAAGGAGAGGGACTGGCGTATCTTTAGGGAGGATTTCAGCATCGCTGCCAGGGGCGGCCATATACCCAAGCCTTTGCGCAAATGGGAGGAGTCGAGCATACCTGGCCCCATCCTGCGCGCCGTCGCCGAAATCGGTTATGCGGAACCCTCGCCGATTCAGCGGCAGGCTATTCCTATTGGACTTCAAAATCGAGACCTCATCGGCATTGCCGAGACGGGTTCCGGAAAGACTGCGTCTTTTGTGATCCCCATGCTCAGCTACATCTCCAAGCTCCCTCGCTTGTCCGAGGCCAATCGACATCTCGGCCCTTATGCTCTGGTCATCGCGCCGACTCGAGAATTGGCGCAACAAATCGAAGTAGAAACGAAGAAGTTTACTGACTCTTTGGGCTACAAGGTCGTCTCCATCGTTGGAGGACGAGACATGAACGAGCAGTCTTACAACCTTCGTGATGGTGCCGAAATCATCGTTGCTACGCCAGGTCGGTTGAAGGACTGCATAGAGAGACACGTGCTTGTGCTCAGCCAATGTCTGTACCTGGTCATTGACGAAGCGGACAAGTGCATCGGTTTAGGACTTCAAGCCGAGCTTGACTTTATCCTCGACAGCATGCCTGCGTCCAACCTCAAACCTGATACTGAAGACGCAGAGAATCCTGCTGCTGCCTTGGGTGATTCGAATGGGGACTTGGCCGGCAAGTACAGAGTCACGAGTGAGTAAGCTTGGTCTTCGCAACACTTGCAGAGGCTGAATGCTCTGTCCTCTCCGCCCAGTGCTCTACTCGGCCACCATGCCAGCTTCTGTCGAGAGGCTGGCACGCAACTATCTACGAAGACCAGCAACCATCACCATCGGTGATGCGAATCAAGCAGTCGGTACCGTCGAGCAAAGAGTCGAGTTCATTGCAGGCGAAGACAAGAAGAAGTGCGTCGCATCGCTGATTTGCTTTCCACGCACTGTGCCATGTTGCTGACCCCTCATCGTCCATGCAAACACAGAGCACGTCTCATGCAGATCCTCCAAAGTGGATTCGAGCCGCCAATCATCATCTTCTCGACTACAAAGCAGTCCGTAGATTCGCTATCTCGCGACTTGCAAAGGAGCGGTTTCAACCCAGCCGTGCTGCATTCGGGCAAAACCCAAACGCAAAGAGAAGAAGCTCTAGCTTCGCTGAGAAATGGAGAGTGTCCGGTGCTGGTCGCTACGGACTTGGCTGGAAGAGGTATCGATGTGCCCGATGTGACGCTGGTCATCAACTTCAGCTTCCCTACCATGTTCGAAGCGTACATTCACAGAATCGGCAGGACTGGCAGAGCTGGAAAGAGGGGTTTGGCCATCACATTCTTGGAGATGCACGACGAAGAATTCTTGTAAGTTTTTCAACTCATGTTTTCCCAAAAGCAAGCCGCTGTTGACTGACGCGCATCGGTCCATCACAGCTACGATTTGCGCAACGAGCTTGCCAGAAGTCCCATCTCCACAGTTCCGCGGGATCTGGACAGACATCCTTCGGCTCAAAAACGAGTGACGAGGGAGATGAAGCGCAAGAGAGACGAGGAGTAGATGATGTCGTCTGTCGTATGACAGAAGCAATCCGATGTCTTGATGTTTTGGGTTCTGACCGCCTTTCGTGGACCGTCGCTTCTGCTTGCCACGTTTTGCGTATTTCTCCTTTCACGTCGGCGACTTTTCTTTCTTCGGGTGTATGTGTAAAAGAAAAGGACTGGTGCAGGGGGACATAGGTTCACGGCACTCGGACATGCGTCTCCGCCCCGACTCTCGTGATGAATAGGCGCCTTTGAAATTTGCCGCTGCGTTTGCAAACATCAGCATCAGCATGCGCTGTGGATGGACTCTGCTTGCCATCAGAGCCCGTGCACAAGCGGCGGAGTGATTTGATTCCGACGGCCATGCATGGAGCTAGCTGCTTGAGCTGCGTGCGCATGGTGCCTGCAGGAGCCGAGCCGAGCCGAGTGAGCGAGCGACCTAGCAACCTTCTCTTGATCAGTCAGGAACTGGACCAGCTTGCGGGATCGCAAGCGGTGATTCTCCACGCATGTTCAGCTTCGGGGTGGTCCACTTGCTGTGAATTGTGAAAGGGCGTTTAGTTGGTGTGCAAACCTTTTTGCCTGATCACGAATGTTGGTGAGAATGCGCGGGGGGTGTGGGGGAGGGGGGAGGGGAACGGCATTGGTGGGTTGACCACGAAAGGAACGATGCTACTGCGGGTGCGTGGTGACCCAAGAAACCACGCTCACGACGTCTTTCTTGCTTTTTGCCCGTACGCCGTTCTGCGGGCACAAATGCGGTTCAGCACAGAGGATAGTAATTGGCGGTGCTAATGGAAGGGTGCACAGTCTACTACCGTGACCGTAGTACAGTAGTAGTAGGGTCAAAGAGCATCTTGCTGCTGCTGCTGCTGCTGCAGCATCGCTGATCTTGTCCCGACGCTACATAGGCGCAGGTAGCGTCTTGCTCACTCGCTCACTGTAGGATGAGAGGCGTTTGTGCGTCGGGCCTGTTTAGGACTCGAGACTGTTGTGTTTCACGGGCTAGACGTCTATCGGGAACAGCTAGTTGTCGTCGCAGCACAGCGGGGGAGTCTAGCGGGATCTGCCGAAGCTGCATGCACGAATGGCTGTTTCCTTAGCTGCGCTTCCATAGTAACCCCGCAATCACGCATGCTGCATGCTTTTGCGCCTCCGAAAACTGCGCGAGAGTGTGAGTACGGTAATCACGAATGTGCGTCGTGAATGCAGCAGCCCGCATCAGCGAGAAGACCCCATGCAGGCAGGCAGGCATGCACCGTACGTACTCTGCTGCGAGCAGGAGCGCGCAGCAAAGGTTTGATTGTGGTGAAAGTTGTTTGCTCGGCTCTTAACGCCTTGCTTCCCTCCTTGCTTCGTACAGCTAGTGAGTTGTGAGTACACCCCTACAAGGCGCCAACTTGCTCTGCAGCAGCTCAAGACTAGAGAGTCGAGGCCTGTGCAGAGTGCGGGGGAGCCATGCATGGTCGAATCACACAGACATGCACCGCTCAGGTACGGCATTGTGCCGAATTCACATTCAGATTGTCCACCGTCATGTTGGGCAAATTCGATCAAGATCGATCGGGCAGGTCGCCGGAGGGAATGCCGAGCCCTGTATACATGGCTGGCCTGCTGATTAAAATCTACGAAAGGCATATATGCCGAAGGCTAAGAATGTGTTTCGCTCTTTCGAGAGACCTCTCCTCAGACTAGTACGCAGCTCTTCGCATCTCCTCATTCAGACAGACAGAGCTTTCCCCCCGTGTAGCTTTAGCTAAAAAACTGCCAAGATGCCTCGATTGACGGCTCGCGTTCCCGTCACCTCCCTGCACGGCAACATTCCGCTGACTTTACCTTTCAAGGGCGAAGAAAGTGTCGAAGCCAATGCAGTAGCAGTGCAAGTGCTAGCACAGCTCGATGCTTGTCTGGTTAGAGGTGATTGGCAGTCAGACGATTTTCAGAATCTATGGGTCGACGGCGAGGATGCTTGGTTCAAGGTGCGTCCAAAGTTGATGAGCAAGCGGGCAGTCGGGATATCAATCACCATTGCTCACCTCCTCGCCTACGCACTGCAGGACCACCTTGCATTGACGGGCTCAGTGAGAACCATTAGAAGAAGCTCGAGCATCAAAAAGGCTTTTCAGACGCTCGTCCCTGCCCGCCGCGCTGCGAATTTCGGACCTGATGCCGCCTTCCAAGTCGGGGGCCCTGCACGATTCGAGCGACTCAATCCTGCCGTCGCTTGGATCGACGCACCTTTCGTGTTCGACACGCGAGATCCGGCTGCCAAATGCGGAGGCTATTTGAAACTCATCAGGACCCAGAGCGGAGAGGAAGAGGCAAAGTGGAAGATTTGGGTCTGGTTCTCCGCCCTGTTGGAGCTCAAGTGTAGTCCATGGGGTCATCCTGCGCGCAGCTCACCTCTGCCCGGCGTACAGCAAGGCAATGCAGCTTCGCGAGGTCTGCCACCAAGCACCGTAGGAGGCGAGAGCGCACCTCTTGACCTGCTTGTCGTCGGCGCTGGAACAGCTGGGTTGAGCGCCCTCACATGCGCAAGAGCACTCGGTCTGATTGCTATTGCAGTCGATAAAGATGCCCAAGTCGGACATTTGTGGAAAAGCCGTTACAAGGCGCTGCACCTCCATACCACCAAAGTAAGCAACACTTCGAACCATAGAAGGCTGACGCGCGCTGAAACGTGCCTTTTGATCCGTGCGCGGCAGGCCTTCAATGCACTCCCTTTTGCTCCATTCCCCGCACGATACCCTGATTTTGTGTCTGCGGAACAATTCGGAACGTACTTGCAGAATGACGTCGTCTCAGCACTCAAGTTGCCAGTGTACAGCGGCATTCTCTACGACAATGGCAAATGGGACGACGCTCGGAAGTTTTGGGTGATCTCGCTTGTGGACGTCGACACGGGCGAACGTGGGCAACTCTGCGCGAAGAACATTGTCATGGCCAACGGTCCCCTGCTTCCCGAACCTAGAATTCCTACCGTCGCAGCTCGGGAGCAATTCCGAGGAGAGACGGTGCATTCCTCGGAATTTACGGACGCGAAGCCGTGGGCCGGCAAGCGTTGCCTTGTCGTCGGCACTGGAGCTTCTGGCCACGATATCTCCTCAGCATTGCATCATGCAGGTGCCTCGTCAGTCCACCTGGTCCAAAGAGGTCCGAACTTCATCTTTCCCATCGCTGCGCAAGAAGCCATCATCGGGCAGATATACAATGAAAAAATACCGATCGAGATGAGCGATCTGATGTGGAGCGCTATGCCCTTGGGTGTTACACGAACCATCACCGCAGCTGTTCTTGGCGCTGGAACGCAGCAAATCGCCCCTACATTGTTCCAGGATCTGGAAGCGAAAGGCTTCCGCGTGGAGAGGGAAAAGGACTTGTGAGTGGACGCGAGCCAGACTTGTTGCTCCAGCATGCTTGGCATGTGATGCACGAGGTTGCTGAAGCCACAGATCGCGCGCCATCTAGCACTCATTTCGCCCACGAGCGACATGGCGGTCACTATCAGGGCCACGATTTTGATCTGCTTACGAGCGGCAAGGTAAGCTCCGGCTGGCTCTGCGTGAGGCGCAGGGCGTAAGCTCATCCGTGATCCCTTCCATGCTGGCCCAATCAGGTCAAGGTGCACTCTGCACCTGCCGGCATCTCACATTTCGACTCGGATGCGCTGGTGTTCCAAGATGGCACCTCACTGCAGGCAGATTTGGTCGTATGGGCGACCGGCTTCACGCGCAAAGGCTCGGTGCCTGAATGGCTGGTGGAGAAGGGCCTCATCGATGCCGAGGCTGCGAAAGACGTGGAAGCGATAGGGCATGGCGTCGATGAAGAAGGAGAGTGGCCGGGCAGATGGACCGGATCTGGACGTGAGTGCGGGTCCGCGCGAACAAGATGCCGAAGCTTGCTCACTGGTGCCGCCATATCCTGTCAACACGTCGTTTACGTTGCCACACGAACAGATCCTGCTCGTGAGTACAAGATGGAGCGATGCAGCGCATCATTTCCACATGCTGACCACGACGTTTGCGCCCAGTGTGGTTCACCGGTGCCGAGATACAAGCAGCTCGCTACGGAGGCAAACTGATTGCTCTTCAAATTGCGATGGAGAAGAACAGCGAGCTGCCGACGGCTTACCCTAGAGCGGATGTTGCAGCTTACACCAACGGAGTCAACGGCTCTCATTGATGCTACGTCCTTGTTTGCTCCGCATGTCTGTGCGCCTTGATATGGGACCGTGCTTGGAATCTCGGTGCTAGTGCTTCGACATCTGCGCCACTTCTAGCATGAGCCGCGAGTCTAGCAAATGTAAGCTTGCAATACCTGCTCCGATCTGACCTGCTGTTTCATCCTTTGATTTTTCTTAAGAGGACACAAGGCGTCTACGGGGAAGAAGGCACTGGTCTCGCTTGGGGCGATCGCAGGCATGACACAGGAATGTGTGCCTCAAGATGTTTTCTCATACCGCCGGCGCTACCCAGCTACTGCCGTATTCAAGGCAGATTGCTGCTCATGTCGGCCAGAGAAGCGTTTGCATCGGCGAGGGATAGCAAAAAGGGGTCCAGGTTTGAGCCGTCTACCGCTTCGGGGAAGAGTATGGACCAGATGGATTGGGCATCGAAGAGCGAAGCGCCATTCTCGAGAGCAGAGGCGTCCGGATTTCCATCGAGATTGTAGGTGGTGCTCTGACCGCTCGATGACGAGTGCTGTGGCCCTGCAGCCGCGAGGCCAGAGTAGAGCGTGTCGATTCTAGATCCTGAAGCGCTCGACATGGCTTCGAGGTGTCTAGGCGTTTGGCCAGGGGCTACCTCCATGTGGGGAGCCAAATCTTCCGATAAGACCGAGCAGATGGTGCGTTTCCAGGTGTTGAGGACACTCTGCAAAAGGTTGGCATACCTCCTGCCAACCCGTCGTTCCTCTGCCTGCAGCAGGTGACACAACTCTTGGACCATACCAGCGACGCGTTCCTGATCACGCTGTGTAACGTAGGGCTGCTCATCGCATGGCGCGAGACTGGCGAAACGCATCGCCAAGACGGAAGCGTGGAGCGCATCTACCAGCATCACGTTGTCTTTCCTCTTCAGGCTTGCCCATCTGCTCACAAGCAAGCTGAGGAACGTCTGAGCTGCTTCACAAGCATCTCTATAGTGAGGCAAGAGAGCTCGTGGCAGACGCAAAGTCTTTGGGCCGGATTCCGTAGAGGCCCTTGGAGACGCAGGCCATGTAAGAAGAGGCAAAGACAAGGTGACCAGCTTTGCATGAGCTAGTGCTAGATGACCGAGATCGAGCAAAGGTCGAGACTGTGACTCTTGCGACGGGACCGCTTCGGGAGTGCCGAGCCAAGCCGAGGCCCACCTGCTCAAGTCTTGAAGAATTGAACTTCGGAAAGCTTCCGCCTGATAGTCCAAAGCAGACGAAGAATTGAGGGACGTCGTGGAAGACGCTTCAGCGATGAGATGTTTCATCTGCGAATGGAAGCGCTCGGTAGCCCTTGTCTGCAGTGAAATGCGCAGACGACTGTCTTGGCTCAGCAGCCTACCACAACCGACCAGCGGAACACCAAACGTACTCACAATAATCCTGCGCAGCTCGACCTGGGCAATGAGCCATTCGTCCTGTGGTAGAGCAAAATCTCTAGTGTGCCATGTTCCGGACGCCGCGACGCTGCCTTCATCAGACAGCATGAGTCTCTGACCAGTCTGCGAAGAAACATGACTCGCGAAGAGCCAAAGCGTAAACCATAAGCGTTCGGTGTTGCGCAGCTGTCGCTGATGCTTCTCTGCTCTAGCGCCGGACTCCTGTCGTAGACGGAGAGGCACGGGCAGATAAGAAAAGAGCTTGAGATTGCATCTGCGAGGCGGGCATGCTGCGCTGTCAGGTCATGCGGTACTACGGAACATGAAGGTGCGGGCTCCGCAAGAATTCTCACCCCACCTCAGTGGTCATGCGTACTGAGATGCCAAGAGGGCAGCAAGGTCAGCTGCCCTGCTATACAAGGTGGCACAGCGTCTTGAACCTTTCACTCACGCGCTGTACCCATCAAGCTCCAGGTCTGGTCTTCGGTGGCCGAGCTTGCTAGAGGAGCGTACTGGGCGCTAAATGCCGCAGAAGATTTCCGTCAAAGATGCCTTACTTCTCACGCTTCCGGTCAACTCACAGCACAATGCACGCCTGAGCAGCTTCGACGCTCCGATATCCGCCACACAAGATGATAGGCGTCAGATACTCCCTGTGTTCGACGAGCCGCTGTAGCACACCTCCTTGGCCATCGAGTCGCTGGCCGGAGTCATCACCGTATGTGATGGCAGAGATCTGGCAGATGACCGTGAGCAAGAAACAACTTCTTCGGCGCATGTACTCGAGCGTGCTTAGTAGTGGGTCGAAGACGTGCACGAATGAGCTGTGTGCCGAGTCTAAGCAAGCAGCAGAATACAAAGAGGATCAGCGACGCATTGCTAGGCTCTTGCTCGCTAGCCGGCATAGGCACCATCGAGCGAATCCAGAGTCTCCTTTGCAGCCACTCACAGAAGTGAGCCACAAGGGCTTGACCCAGATCCACAGTGATGATGCCCAGCTCGATCGGATCCAGGTCTGGCCCAGTGTCATATAACTGAAAGACGATGCAGACTTTCAGTGTCTGTGAGGCAGCGACTTTCTCACAGAGAAGAGTATTCTTGTACGCACAGGTGCAAAAATTCCGCGCGCAAAGTAGCTAGACCAATTCACATCGTCTACTGTTTCCTTGCGCTGGCCAGCAGATGCATGAATGGAACGCCTTGGTGTCACGGTGGTTTTTGAGCCAGGTGAGAGGTCATGTATCCTATTTTCTGCGGCTCTGTGCATAGCTCTGAGTGCTCTCGAGTCTCGACTTCGCGCGTCGCCATGCGCTCCTGACACGTCCCTATCTCGTGCATCTTCTTCCAACAAGCTCGCACTGAGTTCCCTCTGATCTTCGACCTCCTCATCTTCGTCCAGCGTTCCAGAAGCACTTCTCACGACGGCGCTAGCTCTTGCCAAGAGCTTGAGGGGATTGGTCAGAGTGTCGACAGATCGCGGAACAGACCTTTGTGCTTCGTAGTCTTCCAATTCCACTAGAGCTGCCGCTGATCCTCGACCCCTGGAGCGAGATGCGTGCTGTGGCAATGGATAGGGATAGTTGTGCGATATGGAGTGCTCGTATGGTGATAGACCTTGCGCCGCATTCGCCGGAGTGCCGTGAGACTCAACACTGCGGGGCTGTGGCTGGAGGAGTGTCGCAGTGGGAGGCAATGCCGTGCTGGAAGACTGACCAGCATCATCTCCGCCCCGCCTCGCATTGATCGAAGTCGACGCCATGCTGAACGCAGGCTCTGTCGGTGAGGACGCGCCACTGGGGCTGTGATCGTGGCCTAAACCTTGGTGAGCCTTCGTACCATCCTTTTCCATAGCAGCGAGCGAAGAAACCAGCTGGTACCTGAGAGAGCGGACAAGCGCAGCTCCATCCAAATCCGCTATCGCGTCAGTCTAGGAAGATAGTATCAAAGTCAGACCGGAGCGCGTGGCGATTGAAGGGACTGTCCTGCGACTGAACACTCACTAAGGACTCCAGCTCATCGAGAAGCTTGATGAGGGCCTGCCATCGTCGGTCTATCTGAACGTGCTTGCTGCGTGGAGGTCATGAGGTGCAAATCAGACGGAGCTCACGCTGCACCCGGCGCGCTTCTAAGATGGTGCACTCCAGCTCACACCTTACCGGGCTTCCTCCCCCTTCTGTGCTCCTTGAAGATGCAATCCTTCTTAAGCCTTTCGCAGCGCATACATTTGCCCACACCCAAGACCTGTCCTGCGCGTGGCACACACCGCACCTTTGAGGGCGCATTCGGGATACGTTAGCATGACTTTCCTCTGATCCGCCGGGATTGAGAGACGCACCTTGGACTCTCGACAAGCAAGACAGCTCGTCTTGTGGGCGGCTGGAGGGTCTGCGTGCGCTTGTGCACTCCTACATGAGGCTCTATGTACATCCGGATCTCCCTCTCCCGTCCCAACATTTGGTCTATCAGATGGCTTGTCTGAAACACGCAGCTGGCCAGATCGCAACACCGCTCCGAACGTAGGCGATGTCTCCTCATCCTGCTCATCGTGCGGTGCTCGCCGCTTGCGATTCATGTCTCTCGTGAGCGGCCTGCCGCAGCCACTTTCAGCCTATCGTAGAGCGTTGGCGCGCGTCGGAATGTCGGGGCAGAAAAAGCGCATTAATGGTCTATTGGGCGAGGCGGCAAGTGCGCTTCTGAAGTGATGGATCGATGAGCCGAGATGCGAAACGTAGACCGTCGTGAGCCACGGTTACATTGTGAGTGTCAGCGGCCGGATTTGCATTTCGCACAATTCATCGTGAGACACAGCCTCCGCTTTCGTGCGGAGCAAAGGCGAGAGCGAGCAGCACAGCACGACTCGCCCGCGGCAAAACTACTTGGAGGCCGCGGCAGACAGTCATGAGTCACAGTCACAGCAGTGGACGACGCACCAACAGCACCCGTGCATCAGACTCGTGCAGTCACGGGTATTGTTGCTGATGGTAGGAGCCGTACAACTTGCTGCGCTAGGCGACTCGCCGAGATACCATCATCCTCTACATTTTCCATCAATTGCAGATTGCGGTCTTTCACTCTACCCAATGACTATTCCTCAGGTATGTACACGTGATTGAGAATACTGATGCCGTCAGGCCTCTAAAAATTGTCACGGAATCAAAACATGGGGCCTGTGCGTGCGTGACTTGAGCCGAATCACTTGTCGTAGTAAACGCCGTGAGCAGTGCCATGTCCTACGGGCTGCATATGCAGCGGCTGTTTGGAAGGAGATTCGGGAACGTAGCCATATGGCACGTCGCTGGACTTGTGTGCGGCAGGCTGGTGGAATGTCTCATTGAGCGCTGAGCGGTCCCAAGGGTTTCTCTCAGGATTGGCAAGTCGGAAGGGAGGCCAGAAAGCGGCCCAAATGGCGTTGCTGAGGGCCAGAGGCAGAGCATCCAGCACGAAGAGGTAGATTTCGGTACTGTACAGCTTTCCACCATATCCTTGAGCCATCTCGATGATCCTATAGACCGAGCGGACAATGATGAAGATGCTGGACAAGTACAAGAGATAGAGCGTCACTGTAGCCGTCTTGGTGGATGAGCGAGAAGCGGTGCTGCCGGGTGCTCGAGCGATGTTTCTGTGCGCGGTCAGCAACAGACCGACAAAGATGAGATAGGAGATGCCTTGACAAATGACACCAATGAGGAAGATTTTATCTCCCAGATCAGCTTTGTCTCCGCCTGTTGCCTGCAGGCCACCGCCAGTCGCCTGGATGAGGAAGGTGATGACGTCCGACCAGATGAAAAGCCTTCCGACAAGCTTGGGGGGCAGGATGGAGTAGACGCACTTTTGCCGTAGAGGAGAATTAGCCGTGAGTGTCGCATCAATGGATCGCATCAGGCGTCCGTAGAGCATGTAGTTGAATGCTAAGAAGGCCGCCGGGCTGAGGATAACTGCGCAAGATGATGCAAAGATGAGCCATCAGCCCTCACGCTAGCAAAACACGTCCTAGCCTTGCGCGCCAGCACTTACCAAACAGGTTGGCGATGGCATACAGTCCTATGCTCTGTTGATTATATCGACAGGCAATACGGAGCGCGAATCCGAGCGCAGAAAACGCTTCAGAAATGGGGAGGCAAAGGACCCACCTTGCCCATCGTGTCTTTGCAAACCATGCAAAGTGGACCAGCGAAAGGATGAGGTAGGCAGCAGCAAAGGCTACGTTACCAGGGATGGAGAAGAGGTAAGGCAAAGGACTGCCTGCTTCGAGACCTGCTTTGGCTGACGACATGGTGGGAAGATGAGCTGGTTAAAGGAGGGCAGCGGTAGGCGGATTGATCGTCGTCATCTGTGGGAGAGCTAAGAAAGCGCAGACAATCTCCTCCTTTTGTACCCTTCCCTTCCTCCCACCGCGTGTCCTGCACTGTCCCAACTCCAACATGATCGGCTTGCGACTGGCAATCAATCCGCGCACAGCCACGAGCCCAAGCAGCTGCGGGGAATGTCAGCCTTTCCGAAGCTCGTCATTTGGTCGTTCGGAGACGTTTCGAGGCATAATAGTCTGTTGGATGATCCGCATCTTCGTGCCCGCGGATGAATTTGCAGGCGGAGCACCACTATGACCGTGTATAGAAGAAGGCTGTGCGAAGCAAGATCTTCCTTCTACGCAACAAGACTCGCGACTGCATGCGAGCCGATTCCGCGCGGGGAAATGTCGACTTTTGCAGGAGGAGGCATCCTTTCCGCGGAAAGAAGACGAAGTCGCCACGTGACAAATCAAGACGGTCGATATATCGGCCGGGACAAGAAGCGTCTGGCGGCTTCGACGTGAAGACGCGTCGTGGAAAGTCGTGAGCAGCTGCTGTGTGTGCAACATATTACTCTCGAAATCAAGAATCATCGTGGAGATCGCTCGATTTGCAGTTAGCAGTCGCTCACGAGTCACGAGTCACGAGTCCTGAAAGGAGAGCAGTCTGAGTGTTGAGATCAGCCCTTCGTGGAGCAATCAGCCAAGTCCTCCTCCACGCTCTCCCTCATCACGTCAAGCCAGAGCTGACAAGCACACTGCTCGGCCACATTTCAATCTGCCGACATGTCGTTGAAAGTGCCAAAGGCGGGCACGCCCATCTTCAAGGATGGCTACAAGATCTCTCAAGGTATCGAGGATGCCGTCTTGAGGAATATCGAAGCGGCTTCCGAGCTGAGCGGCATGCTCAGGACATCCTTCGGTCCCAATGGCAAGAACAAGATCGTCATTAACCACCTGAGCAGGACATTCGTCACTTCCGACTCGGCCACCATCCTTAGAGAATTGGACGTCGTACATCCCATCGGCAAGTTGTTGGTGCTCGCTTCGCAGCAACAGGAAGCCGAGCTGGGAGATGGCAGCGCACTGGTAGTCATGCTAGCTGGCGAGCTGCTGCAAAAGGCTGCTCAGCTCATCACCTTGGGGCTGCATCCTACCGAAGTGCTCCAAGGCTACGAGCTGGCAAGGGACAAGGCCGTACAAGAGCTTGAAGGTGAGTCGATCAGATGCTTGCAGGCGCGCGAGCAGGCCATTGACACACATCACCTCTTCTCATAGACCTCTCTGTCGCATCTTTGACATCACCGCCCACGGTCGAGTCGCTCGCCCTGGCCATCCGTCCAGCGCTGGCCTCCAAGCAGTACGGCCAAGAGGACCTGCTGGCGCCGCTCGTTGCACAAGCGGTATCGCTCGTTTTGCCTCAAGCTCCTTCCGGCACAGGTGCATCCTCATCTTCGAGCGCAGCCTTTTTGAAAGACTTTAATGTCGACAACGTGCGCGTAGTCAAGATCATGGGCGGCTCACTCAGCGACTCTAGAGTGGTACGTGGTATGGTATTTGGCCGCACACCAGAAGGGGTCGTCCGCAAAGCAGAGGCTGCGAAAGTGGCTGTCTTTACTTGCGGCCTGGACATCAGCCAGACTGAGACGAAAGGAACGGTACTGCTACACAATGCCAAGGAGCTCTCGACGTTCAGTCATGGCGAAGAAAAGTCACTGGAGCTCATCATCAGACAGATTGCAGATTCTGGCGTAAAGGTGGTCGTCACCGGGTCTACTGTTGGAGAGCTTGCCATGCACTACTTGAACCGATTCGGGATCCTGGTCATAAAGATTCTCAGCAAGTTCGAATTGAGAAGACTCAGCACTCTGCTGGGTGCTACGCCTCTAGCTCGCATGGGTCCTCCCACTCCCGAGGAGGCAGGTTGGGTGGATGTGGTGGAGACAACCGAGATTGGCGGAGACCGAGTGACTGTATTCAGGCAGGAAGAAGGCAAGGTCGGTGGAAAGGCGAAACCTCGCATGGCTACAGTGGTCCTACGCGGAGCGACTGCCAACCTGCTGGATGACGTCGAAAGGGCAGTGGATGATGGCGTCAACGTGATCAAAGCCTTGACAAGGGATGCCCGGCTAGTGCCAGGTGCGGGCGCGACCGAGGTGGAGCTCTCCAGGCGCGTAACCGAGTTCGGAGAAAAGATGCCAGGACTGAATCAGCACGCGATTCGCAAGTTCGCCGAAGCTTTGGAAGTTGTCCCTCGCACATTGGCCGAAAACGCGGGTCTGGATGCTACGGAGACTGTTAGCGCCGTCTTTGCCAAGCACGCCAACAAGGATAGTGCGGATGTTGGGATCGACATCGATGTAAGTTTCCCGAGCTTTGGCGCAGTGAGGCTGCGCTGGATCAGTCACACCTGACCTATCCGCCCAATCCTGCCTCCTGCCTGACAGGGCGAGAATGATGGAACAGTTGCTACCACGCCGGCGCAAATCTTCGATGTGCTGGCTGCGAAGCACTGGGCCCTCAGGTACGCCACTGGCGCTGCCGTCCAGGTCCTTTCCGTCGACAGCATCATCATGTCCAAGCCTGCCGGCATCAAGGTCAGCATCGAGCAGTTGCCATATCCAATCCATTTTGGCTCCTTGACTGACCACAAAATCGCATTTACGCGCACCGCTTCGTCTTGCCACAGGTGCCACAGCAAAAGGGATGGGATGAAGACTAGGCTTTGGTTGTATGCGGTGCACCTAGCCGACTGCGCGGAGCAGCCACAGAAAAATTAGCCAAAATGGAATGAATTCATTTGACGCCATTTCAACAGCCTTCACCAGTGCGCCCTCCCACTTGCCGGCTGCATTCACGATTGTCTTGGCGACGGCGAAAAGCCAAATCCACGCAGCCAGGCCTGCGCCACCTGACTTGGGCGCCGATCACGCTGACCGTTGCAAAAGCACGCTAGAATCGCAGATGCCCCATCGTGTGGGCGTGAAGTTCGTGTGTATAAAGACAGCAGGTTCACATGTTCCGCTGCCTCACGCCTCGCTAACATCACCCCAAGTCCCGTAAGCTGGCCTTACCCCGCATCTTATGAGATCTACAGAGCTGGTCTCTGGTCAAAGCCTATGTCGAACACGGCTCATTCTTTTTGAGTCTATCATTTCACCCGGAGCTGGTCTCCATCCTCTTCCTCGCGTTGGTGCTACAGGCAGCGACCAACTCATCTAGTCATTTACACCTACTCATCCTACCTCTTCCAAGATGAAAGCTCCCAATATCACTGCTCTGATTATGCTGACGAGCATCATCATCACTACGGCCCAGCCCATGCCGGTGATGGAGATGCAGAATGCTCGAACTCAACATCGCCGTTTTGAGACGCGCGACGTCCACACTTCAGGGTGAGCTCACAATGCGGGAGTGGCCGCCAAAAGCAAAGCTGACCTCACGGGAGGTGAACATTCAATCTCCGCAGCACCGCCGAAGACATTGTCTCCAGCCAGTCAGAGTCGACCAAGCGCGCAACGTCTGAGTGAGCTAATAACAAGAGTTGTTTTGCCTGAAAGAGTGCACCGCATTGACATCGACGGCCATCACCTATCGAAAGCAACGACGTCTCGTTGGAGCAGTCTTCAGTGGAGGCTAGAGGAATCTCGACTACGCGCCGCAATACTGCAGTCAAGGACGCTCCAATTGTCGTCGTTACCGCAAGAGCTTCTGATAAGGTCTTTGCTGCACAGTGAGTCTGGAGCGACGCCGCGCTCGAGCACGGCACTTCGAAAGCAGCGAGCTACTACTTGCTCGGTGCAAGGGCGAGCTTTGAGCGCTGTTCTCCACTGCTTTGCGGAAGGGGTGCGCGGTTCGATGCGCTGGCTCGACTGACACTTTCGATCTGCAGAACGCATCACCTCGCCCAGAGGGAGCAGCGCGAGGTTCTCGAGGCCGCTGAAACCTCCGATGGCTCAAACTCGGACCGGGGCCAGCTCTCTCAACTCGCGAAAAGACTGAGTGACGAGGACAAACTTGCACTGGGGTGAGCAAGTGTGTGCGCGCCAAACATATCGCCGTGCTTCTTACAGCCTTGAGCCAACTCCCAGCACGATCGTGGGGGTTCATGCAGCCGCTGGGGTGGGTTTTGGAGGTGTCTACGCTCACCAGTCATGGAAGCAGCGCCAGAGGCTGAAGAAGGGGGAAAAAGCAAAGTGGGGCAACCCTAGTACCACCTCCAGTCTATCGGAAGGTCCCTCAAGGACATCGAGCTTCGGATCTACGCCTGGCACTTCATCTGCTACACCAGCCAAGAGTGGACCTAGCACTCTCTTTAAAGCCGCTGGCGGCAAGTTCAGGGCGTTGAAGTTCTGGAAACGTGACGACGACGAATTGAAGTAAGTTCCGGTTTCGCGCATGACTTGCTGCGAAAGTGATTGACAAATCGTCTGCTTTGTATGCTGTCCAGGCGCCATGCTATCGGCGGTGGTGTGTGAGTAGCTGTGCTCGTCAAATTCGGGATTGCAAGGCTGGGTCGTGCTGACTAGCGCATTGCTTTGAATGCGTAGCTTGGTCGCCACGCCCTTCGCCCTAGCCGGGGGAATATACGGAGGCTACAAAATCAACAAGTGGAGAAATGGGCGCAAGGGGAAGCTCGACGCGAACGCCAAGTCTGCTCGAGCCGTACCAGGCAGCGCTTCCAACTTGCCCACCAGAATGACACCACAGACAACAGTCGGAGGCGGAAGAGGTGGCCAAGGCATCGGATCTCTCTTTGGCAAGTTTGGCAAATTTGGTCGAATTGCCAAAAGATCTTCTATGACTCTGTGAGTTTTACGAGCCGCTTATCCACTTCTAACGCACCGAATGCCGTCTCACATATACTATCATTTGGCTGCGCTTTGTAGACCGACATACCTCGATTCACGCGAACCCAAAGTAGATTCTCCCGGCGCTGCAGAGTGAGCAATTGAGAAAGGGTTCACACTATAATGAGAGTGCGTTGACATCTTGCCTGGCGTGCAGACACATCGTGGCTCCTACGGTAGTCGTTGGCGCTCGCCGCGATGACTCCGACCACTTGGAAGCCCGCAGCTCTTCCGAGGAAAGCAGACGTAGGCGCAACAAGTCTATGGCCATGTGAGTACGCTAAGAGTCCCGAGCGAGCGGATGGTAGACAAGAGGGCGGCACACGTCGGCATTGACTTGCACCGCCTCGCCAGAGGGGCAGTCACCTCGGTCCCGTGGCTGGCTGGAGTCGCGGGGGCTGTCTGGTATGCTCACCGCGACCCAAGCAAGCCACTCAGAAATCCCTTCCACGGACTTCGAGGCGCTGCTAAGCCTGCTGTCGAAGGTCATGGTGGGAGTTCAGGATCGCGCTTGCTCGGCCTTCTACGACATCTAAGACCCAAGAGACTCCTCAAACGCGCCACGAGCTTCAAGCTAGTGTCAGACAGACATCTGCACTCGTAGTCCGTCTTGGTCCTTTGCCAATTGGATTCAACGAAGCTGCCCCATAGGGCAGCTTTGAAGGCGTAAATTTGTTCGAATGATGAATGCTTGCTCAAAGGCAGGCGGCAAATCCACACGATCGCCGTGGAGAGATTCGTGCAGGCTGGTCGAGTCACGCCATGGGGCTAGATGCTCCTGACGAGGTGCGACTAGGCAGAAAGATTGCGAGCATTGGCGCAATGCCGACAGCCTTGGGGACGGGTCGCTTTCAAAGCTATCGATCTCGTCCGAGGTCAGGGAAGCACTCACACGTTATAGGCAAAGGTCTGCTAGATTGTGCTGCTGCGAGCATAGAGCGAGTGCCAAAGGAGTAGCACATATCGATGTCCGGGCTAAATAGGCGCGCTGTCCCTGCGCTTTTTATCTTGGTAGAGCCGATGACGTGCACGATTTGATTCCACGGCTTGTCGGTTCTCAACCTAAAACTCAAAGCGAGCACGACGATCGGCATCGGGAAAAAGTGCTGAACACGGCGTGAGTCACGCTGTGCGAGGGTTCCTTGGCGAATGCTGATATCGTGGCAACTGCGCAGCGCGATCGGTGCCAGTGCGACGGCAGTGGCAGGTGGTGGTCTCTGGTATCTCGTGCACAAAGCAAAGCAATGGCGTTCGAATCCGAGGCGAACGGCCGCTATCAGTCCGGTCAGCTCAATTCCCGAGGTTGCCATGCCGAGGCCAGCCCCTGCTGTTGCTGTTCCGAGGCCGGATGCTGCTGTTCAAATACCAGCAACAGTTCCTGCTGTCGAATTGCCGAGGCTGGTCCCTGCTACTGCCGTGCCGAGGCCAATGCATGCTCTTGCAGGGCCAAGGCAAACAACCTGGTCCAAGTTTGGGACATTCTTGGGGCGGTTGAAGCGCTTGAGGCTTCGAAAGCGCGCGATCATTGACGTGACGCGAGCAGAGCGTCTACAACCCTTGTCTTGGCAGGGAAGATGATGACTATCATGCCTTCCACGGCTCGTACTCTCTCCCCATTTGCACGAGATAGACGAGCAACAAACGCACGATCGCCTGCCGCGAAGTGCACCACTCCCCGTGCCGTGCCTTGCCGTCGGCAAGCCGACTTCCAGGGCGTCTCACGCTTCACTCGAATGGTGAACACAATACGTGTGACACTATGCGATCGAGTCACAATGTGCCCTCGGCTTCGGAACAACTGAGGGCGCATGTCAAATGCCTGCAGGGCGATTGTCGACAAACATCGGCCCATCAAGGGTCGAATGAGCGATGTCCCGTTGGGCCCACCTCCATCGGAGGACCGCGAGAAGGACTGACGTCATCCCAATCCTTTTGAAACGCAGTGCGGAATTGCAAGCTCGTAATACGGTCACTCAATCCAAGTATGTAGACCGTGTGGCCAGACCGCTTTGGAGTTACGCTCACGTCTGCTATGTACAGCGCCAGCCCGTGGCTTGTAGCCGCCGGCGGAGCTGGCTGGGTGGGGGCCGCAGGAGGCTTGTGGTATCTCAGCACGAAAGGTAACAATAAGCTCAGATCCTCGCTGGCTTCCACTAAGAAGACACAGCAAGTGAAAAGCAAGCCGAATGGAGGGTTCCTCTCCAAATTGGGCGGGAAAGCCAGTGCCTTGCGCCGCTTGAAGTTCTGGAAGCGTCATGACTCTCAGACCGGCGTTTCAGAGACAATTGAAAGGTCGGTGTACAGTTCGTGTGCTCTTTGAGCGCTTGCAAGCTGACACTTTTACGAGCGATCTTTCAAGGCGCCAATCAAAGCCAAAAGGTGACAGCCGCGACCTGACGAAAAAGCAGTATGCCGCGTGAGTCAGCAAAGTAGCTTTGCCTTAGACTTGCTGACCAATCATTCATGCGGCCAACTTTGGCTCGTCGCAGACTTTGGGGTACGATGGGAGGTGTCACAGGGGGATTGTTGATCCACGCGGGGTGGACCGGGTATCAGAAATACCGCAAACAAGCTGCCGAACTGAGGGCGCTGAACAGACCTTTCGAGCCTAATCCTCAATTGGCCAAAGAAGTACCACTCGTAACGCAACCAGCGGCGAAAATTGGCGGCGGAGGTCTCTTCTCCAAAATCACTGGTATATTCCGAAAAGTGCCACACCTGCGCCGGCGTGAGATGGGGCTGGATGAGACAGAAACTCTGCAGGGCGAAGAGCCGTGAGTCACGTTGCATTGCATTCGGATAGTCCATAAATCCGTGGTGCGACGCTGTCGAAGGCGGACGCTGACCCCGCTTTCGTCTTATTATCCCTCAGAAGCTTCCTAGGTGCACGAGACGGCACCACTAAGAAGGCTGTGGGAGGGACGGCTGGGTAAGTAGCCTACACGGCTTGTAGGAATTGACTTCCTGCCTGACGTCTTTCATCATCAGCGTTCTAGGCGCGGGAGCGATCGGCTTCGGTGCGGGCGCCGGCCTCTATTACGCCCGCCTTCATCACAAGGAGATGAGATCTCTCAAGAACCAAGGTCTAATGCCTGTGCAAGCTGCACGCAAGCCGATGAGCGTCGATGGCAGCCTAGACAGCTCCAAGAATGCCTTCAAGAGTGCTCTTTCCAGATTTGGTCGCTTCAAGATTTTCAAGCGAGACCAAGGCACTGCAACGACGGCCACTCTCGGGTGAGTGTCAGCGTGCTCTCTTTTGAGCTCAAGCAACAATGTAATTTAGTCTGTCTCCTTGACAGGGGCTTGACGGTTGGGGCCCTTGGCCTAGCTGGTGCAGCAGGCTACCATGCGTACAAGCAGGATCGAAAGATGAAAATGTTACAGAATGGCTTGTACTCGACGACGAGGAAGCACTATGCTACAGCCCAGCTTGGAGGAGGAGGCCTGACGAAGCTCAAGAACGTGTTCAGCGCGGGCCTTTCTAAGCTAGGCCGCCTCCCGAAGATCTTCAAGAGGCACGAGATGCCCTCGTCAAGCCCAGCTCCCTTCGAGCTGCAAATGTGAGTGTTCTGTGCGGCAAACGCCTGCTGTTCCACGTGATTGTCCAGCGGTGTGCTGCTCTTGTGCTACCCGTCCAATGCAAGTGCCACGCACAGGCTCAAACCAGTCGTACAAAGACAAACATGCCGTTGGGGAATGCCCCAAGCTGGATCAGCCCAGCGGGCTGGCAGAACCTCGAGTTTTATTGCCTCTTCTGACTTTCTCGTTTGTTCTTGCGATTTCATGGATACACCCTCAAAGACCTCGCAAGCTGACTCGCAGAGACTCACCCACGATTCTCCCTGCTCCCACCGGAGTAGTTGACTATGAAGCGCAAAAGAAGAGGATCGAGGACCACCAGAGGGCGAGTCAGAGAAGGGAGAAGTATCTATTCATGACAGCGTGAGTCATTAGCAATCTTCTGAAGGCTACATTCAGCGCTCGCCTACGCCGCACTGATGCGACATCAATATGTACAGCGCGGGCATAGTCGCCGCTGCTAGTGCTTGGGGGGGAGGCAAACTGCTGTGGCATTGGGGCAAGAACGCCATGGCAGCACGGCAAGCGTATCAACAGCGGCAACAGCAGCTTAGACTGGAGCGGAATGCCGTTCTCGGCATCCCTGTCCCAGAGGTTCACAGAGTGCTTCACGCTGAGATAGGCGGAAGTCGGACGCCTTCCCCTGTCGTTTCGGGCTCTTCGAGTCCTCGAGCCCACCTTCCAAACGAAAGCCATCACTCATCGAACGCTGCTGAGACGTCGACAATTGAAGGTGCTGGTAGCCCAAGGGCACAAATACCTGCTGGGAGGACATCCACAACGGGTGAGGTGGAGCTAAGCAGAGTTTCGAGCTCGGGCAGTGGTCCACATGCCCACACCCCAGCAGATACGGCTTCATCCTCTGGCGCTTCTACACAGCCTACAACCGTCCAACACCGGCCTGCCACGCCGAGTCTTCCTGCGAATGCCCCTCCCGGTACCGCTTGGGGCCACGTCACGCAGCACGCCGATGGTGTTCCTTATCTTCCTCCTTCACCTTAGGCAACCAATTCTGTGATTTGCAGGGATCGGGGTCATCCCCCAACAGCTTCCATTTCACTGTTCCTCACCGGCAATCCTTTCTTTCGTTCCTTTTCTTGCTGTGTGAGAGGAGTATTTGACTTGATCCTGGCGCTGCATCAGACATGAAGGAGTCACGCGTAAGGCGCACAGAGCTCGGTCGCAACGAGGAAAGCAGATGATGCAAAAGCGCTGTCCAATTGCCGTCGGCTACAAATACAAATCTCTAGTGTGGTGACCTGCCATTCCCCAAACGCCCTCGACAGCCAGGTCATGCGGATCATCCTTGATCTCGATGGTAGGTCGCATCTCGCCCGTCTCTGGGTCAGCAGCTGGCGCACCCTGGAAAACCATCTTGCCCAAACCCAATGAGAGCTTGAGCATAGTCGGCGCAGGCGTGAAGCTCTGCCACCCTTGCGTGTCCGAGGCGGAATTTGCCGTTGCGGACGCGGATGACCCCGAAGAATGTTCAATGCTACGCAGTATATTCTCGGCTGCTACGTCAGCCATCGCCCAAGCTGAGCAGAGAGAAAGAAACGATTGTCAGCCTGAGCTTGCATGGGCGATTTTGACAAGGCGCTCACCTTGATAGCCAGCATTCAGGGCGCCAAACGCATCGGCGCAGTCTCCTATGGCATAGACGTTGTGGATGGCTTCCTTGTCCGCATCGATTTGAGCGGGTGCAGACAAGTTGCCGTGCTTGTCCACCGTGTGAGCTTTGCCATCCACAAAGCAATCGCAATCGCCGCAAGGGTTGATCGGTTCGACGGGACCGGGTGCAGCATCTGCAGGTCTAGCGACGCGCAGGTGAGGCGTGACGCGGATCAGACGGCTGGTAGGATCGACGGAAGTGGGACTAAACTCTGCCAAGATCTGCGACGAGGGTTGTTGGCCCGTACAAAGCAGCAATAAGTCCGCCTCTAGCACGCGACCCGTCGTGGTCCTGATCAGTTTGCGGCCTGCCCCAAGACACATTCCCGAACTAGCCGCGGCGGGACCCTCCCCCGTCGGTGCGCTCTCACAGGTTGCGCCGCCCCCGACGCTGTCCTGAGCTAAGGACTGCTGCTGCGCATTGCTCGTGCTGCCTCGCGGGCATCCCTCACTGGTGGCCAACCTCTCTCCCAGCACCACATTGACACCGAGCTCCAGAAGTCTCTCGTATGCCGCCTCGTGTATCCTCGAATCGAAGCTAGGAAGAAGCTGCTTTCTCGAATGAATCAGCGTGACGTTCTTTGCCTCATCCCCCGTGTACAGACTAGCGATGTCCGTAGCATATTCCACGCCTAGCGCGCCGCCACCAACAATGACAATGTCATGAGCTTGTGCGACGCGCCTTTGCATGGCTTGCAGCCAGGAACGCCCTTGCAGCTTTGTGCGAGCAGGCGTGCGCAGCGGGTCGGGAAGATGGGATCCCAGAGCGTAGATGAGGTGGGTGTATGGGATCGAACGCTGATCAATATGCCACAGCGGCTTTGCTGTCGGCTGCTCTCCATCTCGCGCTGCATTACTTGCGGGCGACGCGGGCTGCACCACCACGTGCGAGTCTGTGATGCTAACGACGCTAGCTTGAAGCACTTGATGGGCGTGAGATTGTCGAAATTCTTGAGAGACGCCGCACTCGGTGACTAGCGTCTCAGCTTGCTTTTCCACCTCTCCCCGCTCATTGAGTTTGCGGGTCTGTACTAGAGGCCCTTCCTCGATGTCGCTCTCTTCGTTACGATCGACAGAAGTGGCGACAGTGTCGGGGCTGGAGCGAGTGGAGGCAGAGTCGGATGCTGTCGTTGTGGCCCGAGATGAGCGATCTGACGCTGGCGATGAGGTGCGCTGTGCTTGGAGTATAGGTTCGTCAGAGTCTCGCCACTCGGTGGAAGCTACCCCTGCCTGCTGAGCATCAGCATTTGCGTGTCGCTGCGTTGCTTGGTCGCCCTCGCCCAGCGGCTTACGCTCAAAGCCGAGCAGAGCAGCACCATCGCCTGTCGGACCGTGCGGGTCCCGACTTGTGGCTGCGTGCGCCTGTCGCTTCTGCTGATGCTCGCTCGACCAGCGGTCTCGCACGCTTGGTCTGGCCGGGGCGGCATCGAACAAGGAAGAGTAAGGGATGAATGCGGCGTGCTCCTTGCCTGGCATGACCGAGAATCGGGGAAAGACGTAGAGATGGTTGAAGTGGCTGCAAAGATGAGGAACGCTCTGCCATTGAGCAATCGGCTCGCTGCCGTGCATGCGCAAAGCAGCAACGACTCCCAACCGCTCCACTCACGAGTTTCTCTCGATCAGAATGACGCGATGGCTGGGTGGCAACTTTTGGGCCAGGACGCTGGCAGCGTGCATACCACCGTAAGAGCCTCCCAACACCAGCACATTCTTTGCCTGACCATCATCCAGCTCCATGCCGCGCCATACGTCCTCGGAATGCTGCGCTGCCCGATCAGGCTTGCAGTCGTGATGGACGCTGCGCTTGATCCATCGCAGCGGGGTGGATGAAGGGCCGACGAGAAGGGAAGGCTTGTTTGCCTGCACAGGACGCGATGCGCCTTCAGTGATGGGCGAGATCATCCTTGGAGCTGTGGTGCTGACAGCGATCAGGTGGCGTAGCGGGGCAGGTCCAAAGGGCTGCGGGTTCGATCGATGGTAGGGGAATGCTGATGCTGCAGTAAGATCGAAGCTTGGATCTGTGCGCTTGCTTGCTCTTGTGCGGCAGACAGCACGAAAGTAAGGCAGGTAGAAGCAGGGGCGTCTGCTGAGGCGCATCACACAAGCCAGCAGGGACAGAAAGGAGTGTGAGTGAAGCTCCTCACCACGAGCGTCACGAGTGTAGTCAGAGTGGAGAGTGCAACGAAGAGCGAGCGGGCAGCACGGGAAAGGGAAGCCTCTGCAGTTGGAGTGCACGCGGGGGGGGGCCAAGATGCGAGCCATCAGACAGCCATGCAGCTGCAGACCACGATCGTCATGCATTCGTGATTTGCCATCGACACAAATCATCTGATTAGGCGGTCGCTTTTGCGTTCGCGCTTCCTCTGCTACTGCACCAAAACGCAGGTCCGAGGGTCGTGCAGCAGGCCCCGGCCAACGTCGCGCATGCAGCAAGCAACAAGCAGTCGGAGTTCAGAGTCGCGCGCGGTTCATCGGGACTCGACAATCACGAATCGACAATCACGAACCAGTCCACATGTGTCCACTCTCCATGCTGCGGGTCTCGAGTGGTGGATTTGACGTCGCTCTGGATCCGAGCAAGAGTCACCGGGGGTTTGAGTTGAGATGAGCAATCATGTGTATCCCTCTCATACCAACAGCCCACAGCTTTTGAAAGCTTGGATCGAGCACACCGTGACCAACGCTTCTCTCGGCCTCTACCTCTTCCCTCTGACCGAATCATCACTGCCTCAGCCCAGTCTCTCCTTCTGCGCACATCGCGTGCCCTCCCTGTGCACGTATGGATGCGCGTGAAGTGTAGCATTGCAAGTCGTAGCTATCCACAGCACTTTGAGGCACATCGCATTGCGCATCCGCTCGGAATAGAAGCAGCAGAACGTCTATTGCAGCACTTGCGCATCCATCACCCTCGAGGTCCAGATCACCAAACAAGCAGATCTTCGTCTTCACCACTCAAAACAGGCGTGAGGAAAGGATCAGATCAAGCTGGACTGCCTTCCTGTCTTCCGTTCGTGGATGTTGCAGCGGGCGCTGTTGCTTCATCTGGTTGTTGCTCCGCATCAGGCTTCTGGGTCTTATTGATGGTGTGCTCCGGCAACCACAGGGCCAGGATGAAGCAGCATGCGAAGGCTGCCGTGGAGGCGCGCGCAACGGTTTGGAACTGGACAAAGAAGTACATCCGGTGGGAATGTTTGTGAGCATCGAGTCGACCAGCTCGCATGGATGGGAACACTCTGCGATGACTTACAGCTAGAATGAAGCTTTCGCGCGCCTGCAGTTGCGTCACGGGATCCAGCTTGCGGATAAACAAGATGTCTCGTCTCAACTTCTCGATGATCTGGTGACAAGAGCAGCCAAGTTGCAGGCAAAAGATGAGCAGGTTTCGATGAGGAATAATCGAAAGATTAAACAGGAAACGCTGAAATTCCGGCCTCTCACCTCGGCGCTTCCTGGACCTCGGATACGCGCGCCAAGCTCATTCGCTACTCGATCCTGGAACAGCGCTCCCGATATGCCCAGACCCAAAACGCTTCCAAGCCCTCTGCAAAAAAACATCAGCCCTTGGGCGGAAGCTTGATCGCGGTGCGGCAGCGCAGTGGTCAAAGCGACTGAGCAAACGGCGAACAGGTATCGCATCAAAGTCAGCGAATCCACTTTGGCGCCATGTGCATTGCTGCCGGCATGTACTGACCAAGCACGATGGTAAAGGACGCTGCACCGATGCCATTGGGTATGATGCTGGCGTAGAGCTTTACATCAGACGTGTTGATGTCAAAAGTCGTGTAGGAGGCTAGGGTCGCGATGGTGATCAGGTTGCAGATCTGCAGCAAGTTCCAGTAGCGACCAGTCTTGCGCAGATAGAAGCCTGCGAATAGAGCGCTGACGGCGGTATTGATGGAGAAGGGAAGCATCTGCAGGCCAGTCTTAGTCGAGGTGTACAAACGACCAGCTTGAAAGTAGATTGGCATGTGAAAGATGAAGCCTTGAAAGGCAAAATTCTGGCGGGGAGTGAGGCGTCTTAGCACAAGGTGCGACCTGCGTTTTGGGGACCAAGCATTTTGGGTACTCGAACAAGACTCACTGAAGTTAGATAGTAGCCTGCAGCACAGATCACGGTGCGGTTGTTGAAGAGTCGCATGGGGATCACAGCTCCTGTGCGCTTTGCTACCGTTCCTTCATACGACAGAAAGACGGCCGTCAGAACAGCAAAGCTGACCAAGCAGGCGATGACTTTCGGATCGGAAATTGGCAATCTAGAAGAGGAGATGAGCGTGAGACCCGAGATGAGGCAGAGCAAGCTGATGATCAAGAGGAGGGTGCCGGGCAGATCGAGCAATTTCCACAGAGGCACGGTCTGGACCTCTGCGTGAGGTGGTGCAGTCCTCGCCTCGCCGGAATCGTCGGAGCGAGCTTGGTCATTGGTGGCCATCGGAGCAGTCTGTGCAACCGCCTCGGGCTCATCCTCCTCCTTTGGTAGTTTTGGTAGATGAAGCATGAAGACGATGGTGATGTATGCAGTCAAGAGCAAAGGGACCTGAGACAAGAAAGACCAACGCCATCCGAGCGTCTCTGCTAGCAAGCCTCCCAACGGTCCGCCTGAAGCTGTGCCGATCGAGAAGCTGTGCATGGGGGCGATGAACAAGGCGTGGATAAGAGGGATGATCGATGATCAGATGTTGCAGGGCGGGCGAGATGTGCCGCGGACACGATGCGTTGCGGCGCCTTGCTTGCGCAAAGGCGTGACCACTCACACCAGCTGAGCAACGCCTTGGTATAGGCCACGGCTGCGATTCGGTACCAAGTCTGTGAGCACGATGCTCATGCACGCAGCGATACCACCTCCACCCATGCCAGCCAAAGCGCGGGCAAAGACGAGGAGAATCATGGAAGGGGCAACGGCGCACATGGCCGTTCCTGCAGTGAAGAATGCGACGCCCATGAGCAGCGCCTGCTTTCTGCCAATGACGTCTGCGAGTCGACCGTACAGAGGTGCGCATGCGCAGTTGGTGCTGAGAATCACGAATGGGTCATTCAAATTGTGATCGTCAGCGCCTAGCTTGCTTTGTACGCGCAGCTGCCGCCTTGGCCATCTGCGGGGCTGTACTCACAGCATGTAGCTCAAGCCGATCCATGGCAAATACTCTGCAGCATCGAAGCTGCTTGAGATGTAGCCGCCGAGCGTGGTCACCAGCGTAGTGTCCAGACCGACCAGCGTCACGGATGAAAAGAGGCAGACGAGCGAGGTGTATAGCTGAGACCTGGGCACAGACTCTTTCACAGCCTCGATGCGAGCAGCCAACGAAGCTTGTCGCGCTTCCTCATCAGTCACGATGGTGTCATGGGGGGAGGCGGATGGTGCGGCTTGCTGCGAAGGAGCAAGGAGGCGAGTGCGCTCGCTCGGGTTCGACATGGTGCTGACGCTTCGTGCTGGTGATTGACGCTTCTTGCTGTTGCTGTTGCTGTTGCTGTTGCTGTTGCTGTCACTCTTGCTCTTGTCGCTACTGGTATCGGGACGAGCATATGAAGCGCTTGCGAAAGCTGCAGGGCGAGCGGCTGACGATAGTAGTAGTAGTAGTAGTAGTAGTGGTGGTCGAGGGGTCAGCGAGGTGGGGCGAGTTGGAGCTGGCGGTGTAGTGATGCGTCGCAGAGGTCAAGGCGCTCGGCGTTTAAATGCAGTCGACTGTGCTTGCTGCTCTCGCTCCATCTGCTACCACGAGCCGATGGTGACTCGCCTATCAAGGATCCTGAACCACATTCGAAATCTTGAGGAGAGAAAGAGAGAGAGAGAGAGAGAGAGAGAGAGAGAGAGAGAGAGAGAGAGAGAGAGAGAGAGAGAGAGAGAGAGAGAGAGAGAGAGAGAGAGAGGGCAGGTGCCTGGCGTACATGCATTCATGCAAGTCGTGTGAGTCAAGAGTGTGAGTCAAGAGTCACGAGTCACGAGCACGGTGTTATCCTCATCTGCATTCACCTCGATTCCATTTTGACTCTCGCAGCTAGCTATATAGATATCATCATACACCTACAGTACCGGTATATATATATAGCACCGATAGATGAGCCGTGAGCCGCGGCTGATTGCTCGCATGAAGGCTGTGCCGCAGGTCTCGGCGTTTCGCAACCATCACGAATCAAGAATCTTGCATCGCGTCGCGCGTTCCTACAGTACCTCCATTCTTGATTTTGGTTCAGGCTCTTGACTCTTGACTCTTGACTCTTGACTCTTGACTCT